TTCAATTCGCGTATTCTGCTTCATAGAGTTATCCTGATAACAAGTGCCTTGTAAGAATTTGTTTTTTTTTTGCTGTTGCTGTGGTTTGTATGGGTATAATAAAATCTAATGAGATTTTATGGTAAATGCGGAAACTTTTTGACTGTTGTTGGTGTATTTATTGTATTTCTGTTATATTTATTATTTATGCAGGAATTTTTGTGCGGCTTCAACGAGACTGGTTACTCATAGGCAAGTGGGAATTATGAGAAGGAATATATGTTCATATGTATGCATTTATGGATGTAACTGTACATACTCGTAAATGCATATACCCGTGTGTTATAAATATGTATGACTATGAGTACGTTCAATAAATATTGTTTACCATTTGTTGTAAAAATGATTCTGAAGACTACTTTTTGTCCTGTTCTAAAGATCCGTTTCCATTCCCAGTAATAAAATGTCGACAACAAGTGCATGTGCCGTTAGATTTTTATGATGAGCTTTTTATTTCTTGTCAGACATACACTTGGAGGTCTTGACAACACCTGCTAAGGGATGATCACAATTAGACAAATTAATTTTCTATTATTTTGGATGTTGGTCGAACCAAAACTCGAATTCTGACCTTCCGAATGTCGGCCGCCGTTCCATATTGCCAAAAAATAATTATATATGTAAACTCTTAATTGTCCCTGCTCTGATCCCTCCCTCGCAGTCGTTGTTCTGCTTCTCTGTTCACGCCTGATTATATTAAAGGCTGATGGGGTTTCCGGTAGTTGAGAGACTTGGAACTTTTAGGGGAAATACATCACGCCGAAAGCAGACCTTAGATGCTCTAAAAATGTAAAGCGTCTGTGTAAACAATGGAAAAGAGTGAATTACGGGATTCCGCAAGCCGATAATCTTGTCCGTCTGTTTCTTGCCGTTTCGTTCTGGACAGCTCAGCGGGGAATGAGCACGCACGTGCTACGTACATGATCAGTGATGGGCTTCGGAAGAGCATGGAAGCTCGTCGTCTTTTCAAGATCAACATTTCCATACACGGTGAATGTTTTGATCGAGCTTTGTCGATTGGTATCCACACATTGAGGCGTGGAATTGTGTTGGATCTCTAATATTGCTGTTGTCTTGAAGAAAATGTTATATCAACTTTCTTTTGAGCTGTCCTCGGTATGCAAAGTTGAGACTGAAAGTACTCGAATGGCACACGTTGATCCATACGACTTAACTAATTTTGAGATTGGAAGAATTTGTTGATTTGTAAAATTTACTAAATGTTTTGGTAAATAAAAAGGAGACTAACCTTTTAGATCGCCCAACTTGGAGGTAATAATAATTGTATTAACGTCAGTGGTCTCAGCAACCTTGTCCAACCGGGACAAAAATTGGAAAGCGAATGGGTTTGGTAGTGAACGAGAACAAGACGGAATATCTTCTGTCACCAAGTAAAAAGTCAGAATTTTTACGGCTTGGCTCCCACGTCAATGTTAGACCAGCAATATCATCACCATTAACAAATACATATTTCAACCTTAAAATCCAACGAAGCATCACTCTTGTCAACAGGAAAAGTAGGAAATTGAAAACTAAAGTCTTTCACGACCCTCAAATAGCTCATCATTGCCGTTGTTGTTGTTGTTGTTGTTGTTGTTGCAGCTACCCAAACCCGCATAAGACCAGGCGAGACTAGTCTAAGCCATCGAGATCCAGGAATTTTGCTGTTTCGATGGGTCCGGACCAGAGTGAGAGGGAGGTTAGATGAGTAGGTTTAGAGGTTTATGAAAAGATGTGGTTAGTGTGGTACGGGGTCTTATTACGTGCATCCTATACGTTGGGTATGACAGTGTCAGGTCTGGTTATGTGGAAAATAAATAAACTACAATATCCAGATCTTAGTTCTGCCAGTATTACTCAGGTCTCTTGTGACAGCTTGAGTTCTTGCTCTGAAATTGATGGTGCTTAGTTTCCGAAAATGCCATTAATAGTTTACTATCAAACATAAGCTATCAATGTCCTGCCAGACGTCAATATTTTAGTAGTCAACGGCATATGAAATCAATAAAACGCTCACCGGTAGACGAGTAAGTTTCGATAGGTTAAAATTAAATAAAAGCGGGGAAGGACACCATCCTGCAGAACAACTGGTTCAACCTGATGAAGCTTGCTGAAGCTTGACCACGAAATTCTAACTCAGGTTGGTTAATTAAGAGTCCTCAATATCCGTTAGTAACACAGAATGGTTGACGGTGTCAAAGGCCTTTGACAATTTATCCAAGCCGTTTCGCGCGCAGGGCCGGTTTTAGTTAAAGCCATGGACTAACGTCAATGCTGTTCTGCAATATTCTGCAAAGCCTTTAACGATCGAAACTTTCAATGAGTTGGCATTAGGAGCTTTCGATTAGTCACCTAACCTAAATATTCAGTCAACTGAGGTAGAACACAGTCGATCCGCAGTATAGAGCTTATATTTTATTTTAATTTTCTGTTTTCTACTAACCGAAGATCTTTAATTTTCAACTCAGAGAGATTTGGGTTGGACTTAAGCCGAGTTTGTGACCTTAATCAGATGAGGAAAACCTGAACAAAACGGTCAGTTAGAGACTCTTAAGGCGGAGTCAACGTACTGCAAGCTCTAATGCAGCCAGAACCAGGGAAATTAACTGCAATTTCAGTACTTATTTGCCGGTGCCGTTTAATATAACTATGTTTGTATGTATGTATTTTCGACGCAATCACCGATTTGCCTTTTTAAACTAGTAACTACTCGTAGAATAGAAACGAATTTGTTATAACCATCTCCAGCTGGGAGTTAAAATTTTCTGGCTACGCACACGTTCGTACAATTTTTACTTCATTCATGCTTTTATTGTCTCTTTTACTGTATATGTATGTATATACATATGTTTGTCATACATACAATAAGTAACTGCTCCTGCTATTGTGAACATCACGTTTTTTTCTCTACGTCATTCTCCTTCGCCCTTTCCACATATTCGTACATACACAGATGCATACATAAGAGGTTCGTGTCCGTCTGGCTTTGTACGCGCACGTACGACACGTTCTCACATTGCCGACTGATCATTTGAGGAATAACTTGGCGTTTAAGCCGTGATGTGCGAGATGATGAACAAAGCGTCAATGCACTAAACGACCGGCTGACTGACTGTCTGTGTAAGTGGAGGGAATAGGAGTGTAATCGATATAAAAGAAATCAGCGCCTGCGCACGCCGGGCTATAGGTACATATGTTTATGTTGTGTGTTTTATTTAACTTCAAACTGACTTTGCGACGTACGAGTAGCTCTTAAGCTGCTATAAAATATATATGTATGTATAGAGAATTCGTAGACATTTACGAGGATCGAACTGTGTGTACTGTGAGGAGGAAGCTAATGAAGGTAGTTCAATCACGACACCACGTGGGTTTCCAAATAGCTTCCTTATTTGTTTTAAAAATTTATCCCACAACCCGGTGAAGTCAGACAACGGTCGCCTTCGAACTGCTGATTTTCACGAAAAACTTTTAGATTTTAGTCTCACCATACAGTGTATCCTTAAACGTTCGAAATGAGCACACAATACTGTCCATTCTTCAGCTTTAAAGGAAATGTGCTCTGTGATACAATTTTTTGGTTCAGTTTGTCGAGATTTGATTTTGCTGTTGCCGGAGAATACCGGAATAAGTCCACCCGTCATATCACGCAACAATTGAAGCTTCCACTTTATGTAAGATTTTGCGAAAGGCTCTTGGCTTGCGGTCTTACAAAATCCCACTCCTGCAAGTATTGCAGCCGAACGACCACTAAGAGCGTCGCACGTTCGGTTAATGGGCTCAAAACCAGTTGGCCACCGATTCGGTTTTTCACAAAAAAAGAGTGATGATAATCCACCAGCCATTGTTGTGACGACGTTACATTCTCGAAAAGGCACTGTTTGGGGTGCTCTAAGGGCAAAGGAAATCATTGTTCCATATTTCTTTATAAATGAAGCAGACAGTAATTTTAATGAGGGACATCATGATTAATAACTCCTTCGTGTCTATCATGTGGACGACGTTTGGTACCAGTAAGACGACGCTAGAGAAAAAACGACATTCTCTCGCGGCGTGGGCCTCCAAGATTGTGAGATTTAACACCACTGGACTATTTTTTTTCTGCGGAATTATGTGAAGTCGTTTGTCTACGCAGATAAGCCGGAGACGATTGACATTTGGGCCTCTCAGCTGAATTTTATTTGCTTAAAATAGTTTTTAAAAATAATAAATTAAAAATAGGTACATTGTTGGCCCTAACATTAAATTGTATGTGGTTTATTTCTTCTGGAAAACGAAGTTCTTGTACATGCACAGCGACCCTCGTAACTAAATCATTGACGGTTAAACCAAAGTTTTATTAATTGACCCCCTGCCATAGCTTAAAAAGGGTCGCCCTGGGCAGCAGTAGGATTCTACTCTACCACGTAAAAGTCAGTGCATTTATTGTTATCAAAGAAGCACACACACACACACACACACACACACACACACACACACACATACGTAATAAATATGATTACAACATTTGAAAGAGTTTAAAATGAGTTTCTATTAGAAACAGCCATAAAGAACAAAGGCGAAAAGGCCGCGGAAAACCTGTTTGAGAAATGATTCTACAAATTGCTCTACAATTTCGATTGCTTTAAAGAAGAAAGACAATGAAAGAACTTTTAATACTAATTTATAGATTTTCTTCTAACAGCGTAATGTGGCTTTCTTTATTGGTTCTTCTATTTGAGAATTTTCATGTTTTCTTTTTCTTTGGTTAATTGTTTTCTCGTCTCGTTGCGGTTTTAATTCCTCACACGTCTCCAGCTACCATTAGTAGCAACACCTGTTAAATGAAAAATGATTAGACTGCTTTAAACGCTTAGCAAATAAATATAAATATCCATGTACATATGTAAATTTGTATAACATATTTTTCCAACACATTTGAATATTTTTTTTATTCTTTTCCACGTTTTTCATCATTTAAGTTCTCAATCAAATGAACGGCAATTTCTGAAAGATTTCATTAGTGGCGCACCGGGTTCGTCTGGCGCTCGTTTGGCTGCTTGGCTACAACCGGAATCACGTCTTGATCCCAATAAGTAAGTTGTACACTTTATATAATACATACATACATACATACATACGTATGTAATAAACTCTCTTTTATTGTTTTTTTATTTTACATAATTTTACAAATTTATCATCGTTACACACACACACATACTTGTAAATACCTACATATATAATATATTTCTTATTCATCTCCAATTAGATGCGAATTAAATACAATAACCGAACCGTTGCGTTATGGCTGGCCAACTCAGATTATGGTGACCATACGTGATCAATACGGTGATGCTGTGCTGGTGCCCGAATTGAAGGTGAGTTTGAAAGATTTATGTGTCTGGCATGAACATGTAATGTTACCAGATGGAGAAGAAATAGACCCACTAGAATTTATACCGATCGCATCCGAATGACAAGCTGAGTTTATTAGCCACATCCGTCTGTTTGTACGCAAATCTGCCTCTGAGTTTTTGAGATATTTCAACCAAGAATTTGTAGACTATATCAATAATTTTCCGGAACAGATCAGAGCGGACTACATGTACAGGTGGTTTTCGATATTCAAAGATATATGGCATTTTTTGAGGTAAATGGGATGTTTATTTCAATGTTAAAAGAAAGAAATGCGATTAATAATGAAAAAACAATATCAGCCAAATAGCCGGCACTGCTACGCTTATAGGATCGTATCCCCCAATAGCTTCGCGAATTCCATATTTGAGATCTCGGTGGCCAATAGGGATCACCTCTTAGAGAGATGACACGGTCCGGAAATTTTTCCCTTAAAAGATCGATGGTTTCATGGCTGATGTGACACGTAGCGCTGTCTTGTGGAAAGTAAACGTTGTCCGGATCCATCCATTCCGGCCATAAAAAATCATTAATCATCTCTCGAAAGCGGAATCCATTTATTTCGAGCAAGGGTGGAGAATCCATTAAACCTGCTAGAACCTAGCCTTGAGGCTTTGTAGCATTATGAGGCTAATCCCAATCGATACAGCTACTTCAGAGAAGTTGTCTCTAGCATAGGTAATTTTTTTCTTGCTCACAATAAGTTCAATTTGATTTGTCGTAATTGCACGTGGTTCTGTTATATTTCATGAGTACGCTTTCGCTTTCCTAACTACTACTTTTTTGTACCATTTGGTGCCATTTCATGAAAGCTTTCCACAGTTGGATTCTGAGTATCTTAAGATGTTGTTTCGTCCAGAAGGCGACTTCCTACCTTGGACATGTTTCAAGAAGACGAGAATTCATGGCTGATGTGACACGTAGTCATCCAACATGGACACTTTTCTGCAGCCATCGTCCACTTTGCTCTCAGTCTCTGTGAATAGCGTGCAGGTGGAAAATTCGCCTGTCATCCCTATGTATGTACTATATTGTACGAGATACCCAACTCTGGTGTTATATATAGTTGAAGCTTCCCCATAAATTGTGATATTGCGTATACCGAAGCTTATTTTGCTGCCAGCCTTCGAAAAAGTCTCTAACAATTGCTCGCAAACGGCCACTAGTATTGGTAGTAGTATATTCAACGTGTTTGGCTTCTCTTCTTCTATGAGCTGACAGTTGTCAATTCCATATATATATATAATGGGCATTTCGAATTTCCAATTTGTGGTGTGTATCTTGATGTTTTTCCAAGCCGAATTCGAACGGCTGATGGTTTTTTATGAGAGGCCTTTATTTCACGTCATTCAGTAACGCTATATTCCCTGACACATTCGGACATTTTGACGCTTTATACACAGTAGTTTATTTGTCTCACTCCTGTAGAAGGAGTAGCCAAACGCGTACATAAGTCTTTGTTCGGAAAACCCTAGCGAGCGTAAGCGTTAATTTGTAGATGGAACGGGTTGCAACGCTACTTTTCAGGCAATCCAAAGATTCCAGGTCTGCTCTCGAGATGGAGGGTTTGCATGTTGAGGGTCTCCTGACTAGAGGTTTGCACGATTAAAAAGTGGTATGAACCTTCTACGAACCCACTCGTTCTTCTTCGCATCCAAGTGCTCAAGTGCAATTTGTAATTTTAAATTCGCGACTAAAACCCCACCGGTAACTTTCGTATATAACTACAATTCAATTGCTGTCTGAGATTTTTTAATTATCTTCAACTCAACTTCCATCTACAGGTCGAAATCAAAGCCATTCCGACTGGCGCTTCTGGCAACGGCAACATCAAAATGCGACGCGGCTCATACACGGAGAACAACACATCATATGGTGGTGTGCCGGCGCCACCGCGCCTCAATTATGAGCCTACAATTAAGGAGAAAATGTGCTTCAAGGCTATTACATTCATGAAGCCCTACAACAATTATTCGTTTGAAGAGTTGCGCTTCAGCAGTCCCATTCAGACACGCGTCACAGAGACACTTTATGCACAAGACATGGAAGACGGCACATTCAGCGTACATTGGACGCCCAATTCGGTGGGTAGTTATTGTCTTACTGTAACTATTGATGGCATTCTGCTGGAGGAGGTGTATCGGGTGGAGGTGAAGGAAGGTGGCCTACCGCCGCCGTCTCACAAGCAAGCACTCAAGAAGCCCCAACCGCCGAATAAGCTGCGAAAGTTTTTCACCAAAAATACAGCGGGATTGCGAATACGATCGCATCCCACATTGCAGTCTGAGCAGGTGGGCATTATCAAGTTGAATGGCGTTATTTCTTTTATTGATGAGATTGAGAATGATGACGGTGTTTGGTTGCGGCTTTCGACCGAGTCTATACGCCAGCACTGCACTATGGGTTGGTACCCGACTGAAGCGTGGTGTTTGCAATATAATCAACACTTTGGACGCACTTTGTTGCATCCCGTAACGGAGACGAGTACTACAACAGCGGCCGTGAGTACGGTAGCAACAAGCGGCGCTACGGGCGTAGGTGGTGGTGATGTGTCGTCGAGTGTTGGCACTTCAACGGCGATGTGTGTTGGTGGCGGTACCGGGTCCGGCAGTAGTGGTGCTGGTGGTGGAAAATCCGTATCGAAGCCGCGCCACAAAATTTTATTAGACAACATAGAGTCGCCGGTTTCGCCGCTGCCTATTGAGTCGCCTTCGAAATCAAAGTCTGTGTCGCCAAACAAAAAGATCTTCGATTTCTCGCAAGACCGTTTTACGCCACCAAAATCCTCTGATGTTTCACACACTTCAACCAATCCTTTTCTTTTTCCAACTGTTGTTAAGTCGGAATCGGAAGATAGTGAGCTGCAAAAGGTTTTTGACATGCAATCCTCGTCGCAAACGAGCGTCAGCTCAACGTCGCAACAACAACAACAAGGAGATATTCTCTCTTTACATTCTCTGCAAAATACGAGCCCCTCCCAAATCAGTTCGGCGATTGCGGGTGTCGTCGGGGGCGGCGCTATTAAACTGCAAGCGCTCCAGAAGTGGTTCAAAGGTGACGCTTTAGATGGTGGTGGTTCGGCTGCTGCTGGAAGACCGCCTTCACCGGCTAAGGAGCATCAACGTAAACGTTCAGATGTCACAGAGGTAATGTCTTCGGTTTCGGTGCGTGAACTGGTGCGTGCTATGGGCGGGCAGGACACGCGCTGCAACGGAAACAATGCACATGCGCAACAGAGTTCTAGTCCAATGCAAATACCCGCGGTCGGCAAGGGTTCTTCGGATTCACCTAGCGTAAGCGTAAAGTCTACAGATGCTTCAGAGACTTCGGGTCTCTTTAGTTCACTCACGCAAGATTCTAGTCATTCCCATAAGAGTTCGAAGGAGGAGGAGGAGGAAAATGCACAAACTAATGCGGCACCCACGTTCGATATATCCACTATACGTGTCACCAGCTTCACACCATCACAGACGGCGGCCTTACTCTCTACACCAAAGCACTCGCCGCGCAAATTAATGACCAACCTTCGACGTACGACATCACCATCCAGTCGTAGCGTTGAGTGCTCCACCGCGCTTAAAGAGCCCGATTTAACTCAACTCGAAGACGATATGAACATGTTGCAGATTACAACAACCACAACTGGTGGTGGTGTGACCACACAGGATCAAATCTTATTCGGCGATATGAAGACGGCGAGCACCACAGCAAGTACTGACGACTCCAGTCCACCCATCTGGCCACCACCGCTGAACCAGACTAACGCTACATTGAATGCAGCCACAAACCAACAGCAAAAGTCATCTTCGCACAGTAAACGTGCTGGTGCGATTGGCCCCATCAAGCGGGCGATGCCGCCATCGTTGGCTGAAAGCATACGCGCTGTATTCGCCGCCTTTCTCTGGCACGAGGGACTTGTACATGACGCTATGGCATGCGCCAGTTTTCTCAAATTCCATCCCTCGCTACCCAAAGAGGGCGCCACTGTAGTAACCAGACGCGACTCGAAGGACAGTCGCTTGCAGTTATCACGTGAGCAAAAGGCTCAGCAGCGCCACTCTGTTGAAGTAGCCAATGCGGGTACTTATCTGAATATCAGACCTTCAACACTCGAAACGCTCACGAAAAGCGGCAACTCGTCGATAAATAATCGTAAGCATCGCAAGAATTTGACGTACAACTCCGGCAGTGGTAGTGGTGAAGAGTCGGAGAGTGGAGAAAAGCAAAAGTTGCATACTTTGCCTGAAGTGGTCACCGTTCTACCGCCTGCACTGCGTTGTCTCGTCTATTTGTGGGAACAGGTGTGTACTAATTGTGTGCAGGTAATGCAGTCGAATATTATGGAACGAGAGAAGAGCGGTGCCAGCGTAAATAGCGGCGGCGGCGGCGGCGGAGGTGGCACGCCAACTCGCGAATCGAGCGTAGATGCGAAAGAGAAGCAGGAATCAAATGAACGCGAGCTAGCGAAGAAAACTCGGCGCAAGAAGAAAGATGACGGCTCTTGGTGCGAGGTCTGTGAAGTATTTCTGCCGATACCAGTCACCTACCATATGCGCATCGTCCATCCCGGCTGCGGCAAGTCAGCCAAGGGCAAAGGTTACAATTCGGTCGGTATTTTCTGTGAGGGTTGGGCTGGCAATTGTGGCGAGGGTGGCAAAGGTGCCTCCAGTTGGTTTTTGATGTGCGACGAATGTCGTGAGAAGTACATGTCGGCAAATAAGAATGTTAACAATGTCAATAGTGCGCCCGGTGTAACGCTCTCAGGTGAGTTGTGTGGTGTAAAACTGAAAATTAATTTGTGATTTTTCTTAACCCTATCTCCAACACTTTTTCCAGGTAATGAATTGAATTTGTTTGGCGTTAAGACCACTACACTGATCGCCAACTCGGAGATTTATACAACCATGCGCGAAAACGCCACTTTCTTGTTGGAACTCTCTTCAAGCGCAGCCTCTACTTTAAATGCCACAGTTGGTGCAGGCGCTGCGGGTGTGAATCCTTCTAATTTGATTTCGTCCAATAAGCGTTCGCCCCAACAAATGCCCGTCGTGGTCGAACATCAACATTTCAACATGCCCGATTTGAATAAGCCAAGTACAAGTCGTGGCGATTCGGCACGTAATAGTCGTATCGGTTTGCGGATGAGCGGAAAATTTGGCAGTAAGTATATGGGAATATTGATTTGAGAGGCAGTCTGCAAGATAACTTCAAAAAATACAACTGAACTGTTGCTCCTCTTGTTATGTCCGACCTCGTCTGAAGATATCGCTTGTTTCATGTCGCTGCCGAAGCTTCATTCGAAAGGCTCCTATCATAAAGATTTTAACTGGTTCTCTACAAGTCAATTTGACTTTATTCGTTTTCAGTTTGATGGGGTTGGTAGGATAGTTAAATCTCTAGAGCACTTATTTCTCAACCTGCAAGGTCGCTCTAGTCGGACAAAAGTTTTTTTGTCGTGGATGTCCCAAGTTGATGACACGAAACCTTCTGTGAGACTTTTCGTAGTGCTACTCTGTGCGGTCAAGACAGATCGGCCATGTCAAACCTCTGAAGTTCCGACATAATTTAGACTAGAATATTAAAGCATTCTAAATTGTCCGTCCTAACTTCTGTTGAGCTAACGCGGTTAGAACCGGCGGCAAAGGGGACAGCTCATGTCTGGATTGAAAAACCCGGTTTACTTTGCTACATTGTTGGCTTTTGGGGTAGCCTTGAGACCCTATGATAGATACAAGAAAAGGTTGCTGATAAAATACTATGAGATAATCCTTCCTGGACAATGAAGGGCGATGCTACGGACGTGTCAAAACAACAACACGAGGACTGTAAGGGGAAATCTTATGATGTCGCCTCCACATAACCCTTACAGCAAGATATATATATTATATATGCTGCCAAGAATCTCCTCTGAAGAGCCGGCCGAAAGAATAAGCGGTAATCCGAACAACATGAGCGAAAGTATTAACGTTGGTTAAATTCCAGGTGCTGCAGGCTCAGAAAGAGATTCCATAGGCATGCATTTAAGTGCGTCAACACAAAGTCCAAATGTGTTAGAACATGCAAGTAGACTATCAACAGACTAACGCGTCAAAACACATACAATATAACTTGGGCCCCGGGTCATACGAAAGCAGAAGACAATGAATTCCCGGACGATTGTCTATCCGGCTTTTAGCTGCCTCACAAGGTCTGGTATTGTAGCAAACTAAACTCGTGCACATCCAGACTTGACTCTAATGTGCCCAACGCATGTCCCACAATAAGTCTTCGCACTAACGCGATACCTCGTTGCATGTCGATCTTGTAAAAGTGGCTAAGTTCCTAGTCCATCTGTTAGATGACCATAAGAACTTCCAAAGTAATTATAGTCACCCGCTATGTAATGAACTTTGCTTACCAATTAAGTCAACCTAGTCCCTTCATGGCAGTTCGGTTCGTAGGCTGCTCGTTAGTTGGCGGTGCTAGCGAAAGGATTGAGATATCGTCGGCCCACGGACGCCTATCCATCAATCGTGAATATTTAACAGGAATCCATTTTTTTATTTTACATTCCTTAGGCTCCACACCTTATCGCAAGAGTTTTATTGGCAGCTCTGTCTCACCAGAGCATATTTGGTTGGCTCCCGAAACATTCGCTTGTTTGGAATCGCTCGGCGTGGCTAATAACGAAGATTTGCCATATGAAATTTTCGGCTTAAACCAAACTGAAAACGGTTTTGATAGGGTAAGTGGGATTCGGTACAAACAATTTATTCATATTTTTAATTTCCAATACTTCCAGCCTCTCTCTGAGATGTCCTATGAATCCTATGATCCCAACAATTATGAATTGATGACAGGCTCAGTTAGTGGCGCGCAACAGCAAGGTGGCGGTGGGAGCGGCTCGAATACAGGCACGCTCTCCAAATTTCACCGCAGCTTCTCGATGGGTCAAGGTTGGGCTATGGCACAGCAACAGGGCACTTTCCAATTGAAAAATCTCGCTGCAAACACGGATGAAGCGCAGCAGAGTAAAGTTGTTTTCCGGCGACGCAACAATTCTACCAGTGAAGGTGATGGCGCGCTACTCATTTGTTATCCATCGGAGAATTTGCGTCGTTTGGTGCCGGAAAGTATACTAAACAGCTCCATCGTACATCCGGCCGTACAGCGTTTGGCCAATGCAGATGGCGCTATGTCTGCCGGTAAAACGCTGTCCGGCGAGCAGTCAGAGAGCAATGATAATGAGGAGAAGTTGAAGTTGGTGGAAAATGGTGGTGTCAAGTTGAAGGAATACGATTACTCCGGTAGCGGCAACTCAACAGCAATGAGATCTAATGCTGCGCGCGATAAGGACTCCTCTACAACCTTACTCGAGTTGGAGTTGTCTTCACAAGTGAATGCGTTGTTGCAACGACCCGCAATGGCTTTTATTACGCAAAAACATGATTTGGAGAAATTGCGTTACGCCATGAAACGTAGTCTGCGCATAGCCACTTGTCGTATCTACTCACTGCAAGCACTCAACTGGCTGCTGCGTTCGGTTACACAAAGCGTTTGCTTGCACGATCTCATGTGGTGGTTTGTCAGCTCTCTTAGCGTTTCTGCCATAGAGATGATCGATGGCAAATACGAAGATGTGGAGCCCGCCTTGGAACATCCAGTTACCTACACGCAAATCAGTGGTCGCTTCTCACATTTAATCACCCAGAGCTTACATGTTTTCTTGCAGTCCGTCGCGGATCTCACGCTGTATTTACCACTTGGCTCACCGCTGCAACGCATCGCCATACAATGTTTCGGTATACGTTTTCGCCAAACGGATCATCAGTTCTTACATAATTCTCATGTCTTTGGTAATATTTCGAAAATTCTTTCGAAATCCGATGAACAAGATGATGTTATGGCGGTCTCGAGCATAGGCATGGCCGGTGCTGCAGCTGTTGAGAGTAGTGGCGTTGGTTCGATGGGTGTGCACGATGTGGAACATAATTTTCAGAGTGTTGCGGGTGGTGTCGCGGTAACGACTGCGGGTGGTATGCCAGCGGGTGCTAAAATTATATGTTATTCCGACTTGAATGGCATGTTCGAAGTAACGGTGTCATCGCGTCAAGCCATGGCCGAATCGTTGACGGACAATTCCACTGAAACTTTCTGGGAGAGCGATGAAGAGGATCGTAATAAGTGCAAGATCATTGAGATCTCGATGACGAAGTTGACATACACTTGCAAGGTTGTGTTGGTGCACATCGACAATAGTCGCGATATACAGGTGAGTGAATCGCTATTTCAGTGTTTAGTACAATAGGTTGTTATTGCTGTTCTAACTAGAAAAATTTTCTTAAGTTGGTTATTGGAAAATGTTGTGGGAATAATAATCCTTCTAGTGTGACTCTATTGGATCTTAGGTGGAGAGTATTGGATCTTAGTCGCTCCCGCTTTACTCTTACCCGCAGGGAATATTTAGTGAAAGTAGTGCGACCGTTCGCATTTGAGCTCAGGTGCCAACTTGTGATACTTTGGGCTGAGTAAATTCATCATTCGACGAACCAAAACATAAATCTACAACTCTCTCATCATTTCCGCCTTGCTATATGGTGGAGTAGCGTGAATAATATCGACATGCGGTCTTCGGAGCCTTCGAGATAAAAGTTTTGCTGAAGATTTATGGTCCACAACGAATAATGGAGAAATATTACCGTAGTTCAGGTAGAGTCCATAAAATCTTTCATGAACTCTCTTTCTGTGAATGGTGGTCTCGGAATCCCAGCACAGACCAAGTGCTCGAGCTGCATCGAGAGAGCCATGTATTACTGTCACAATTATGTTCATAGAAGGAGGAAACTTTTTGTTTTCATAGCTGCTATCCATTGACCCTACTGGTGAAGGCTGATTTTGGTATTTTGCCAATTCTATGGGATATCCATGTGTGCGATGTCCCAAGCAACGAACTTTATCAAAAAGTCTATTATTCATGCCACTAGCATGAGGATATGAGTAAACTCCACAACTATCACTGTCGTCGGTGAAAATTGTGTCGGGTCTTTGATCTAAAACTGTTACAATTTCCCATTCATTCCTCTCTAAGATTGAAGAGAGAAAGAGAATGAAAGCTGTCCACCGAACTTTGCCCAACTTGTTCCTAAAAGTAGCTTTGTAAATTAGAGTCGGCCGCCAGGTCGGTCTCATTGTCGCTTTGTACAATTAATATATAAGACAGGGTCGTTGTAACCATAATTTAACGATCGTCGCCTTGCGGGCTTAGCCTTTTTACTCCTTTCTGTAGTACTTCGATTAAGTTGAGGTTATATCTGAAAAAAAAAAAACCACTGGCTACGTCTTCAGTGCCAATCCTACTTATGCATCTCAACCTTAGCATTAATCTTCCCTTCTCGTTGGCAGAATAAAGTGCTCAATGTGGTCTTCTACGCTGGACAATCGTTGGGCGACACAAATCTTATCAAGTCCGTGGATGTGGATCCTAAAGCTTGCGCGTGGATATCCGCAAAAATTGTCAATGAGTCATATACACATTTTCGACTGGAGTTCCACGGCCCGGAGAATACTTTGCGTGTACGTCAAATCAAGTTACTTGGTCTACCAACAAGCATGAGCGGACTGGATGAACAGTTCAGTGAACAGTTCGGCGGTGGACCACAGTCGGCAGGTGGTGCTGGTGGCAACAGTTGTGGTATAGCACCAGCAGGCGCGGGAGGACAAATGCACGCACTCAAATCAAATTTGAAACTTACAAATGCCATACGTATACAGCAACAGATATGTGAGTCAGAGACATTGCGCGTTTTCCGGCTCATAACAGGTAAGTTCCTGCGTGGTGGATATGATGACAAGTGAGATATACTCTAAACCTTTAACCACTTGCAGGTCAAGTTTTTGGTAAATTGATCAGCACCGTTGTCACCGATGCCGGTCATCAATCTGTGCTTGGCATGGATTCAAGCGGCAACTCTATGCTCGCCGACTCGCTGGATCTGCGTGAACATATGGTTGGTATACTCTTTTCACGCAGTAAGCTCTCGCATCTGCAGAAACAGGTTATTGTCCATATCGTGCATGCGATTAAGAAGGAAGCGCATCGTGCCAAGGAAGATTGGGAAATTGTAAATTTGGCCAACTGTTTCAAGGACGCACACGCCACGACCACATCCGCCACTTCAACTGGTGATCCTAAGAGCGAATCCAGCTCGGAGCGTTATCGTGCGCCAGACACTTACTGTTTCGAGATGCTTAGCATGGTGTTGGCGCTCTCTGGTAGTGTCGTAGGCCGTTCATATCTCTCGCATCAGTATGGCTTACTTAAGGATCTTTTATCACTACTACACACAGGCAGTGATCGTGTTCAGCGACAGGTTACTGCGCTACTAAGACGAATTTTGCCTGAAATTTCACCAGAAAGTTTTGCCGAGTTGATGGGTGTTCAACGTCTACCGCCCGCGGATTACAATATTGCACATCAGAATGCCGCTGATTTTGATATGAACCGTCTGGGCTTGCTAGACATATTCTTAGCTGTCATAGCCAAGGCTCTGCAGTTGCAGGTGAAGGTCAAATCTTCGTCGAGTAAACCGAGTTTGGAGAAGACGCCCTCGTTTGTGCGCCTTTGCAATACGCTTGATTTGTCGGTGCATCTTTTGAAGCAGACACAAAAGCCCAAAACGGACTGCGCTGAGGGTGAGGCATGCAGTGGTGATGCCGATGCCATTGAATTCACCCCGCACAAAACACACCCATTCCGTTTCGACCAACAAGTTGTGGGCAGCGAGTATGAGCTCAGTCGCTCAACTTTGAAGCTAAACAAGAAGGAGAATAAGAAAAATCTTAATCAGCGTTGGTTCTTGAATGGTGTCATCTCTACAAAGCAAGCTGAGAGTATTATTGGTCTTGTGCGTGATTTAGCTAGTGTAAGTAGCTTCGAATATCTCTTTTCCCTCTGTATTTTATATCATGTCTAACTTTTCACTTCCTCCAGGGTAAATTGAGTGAAAAATGGTCGCTGATCACTAAGGCTGCCATTGCGGAGTCCGTGCTGAACCTAACACGGTTGGATGAGATTTTCCGTAATCCTGAACATTGCGTCAAGACCGCCACCATGTGGTTAGCACTGGCCAGTCTTTGTGTTCTCGATCGGGATCATGTTGAGAAGCTTTCATCGGGTCAATGGTCTAAAGTCTCCGATACACGTCCTATGTGTACTAATCACGATGATGGTGAGACAGCTGCGATAATTCAGTGTGAGACTTGTGGCTCTTTGTGCGGTGATTGTGATCGGTTTTTGCATTTAAATCGTAAAACTCGAATGCATAAGCGGACGGTAAGTGTGCTGAGATGTTATAAAAATTTACTAAATATGTGTGTATTATGATGTGACGTACATATGAGAGTGCTTCAGCCATAAAAAGGGAAGGACCCACAGATCAATTCTTCACCCCTCGTATTAGGAACGCCCTGCCGAGGCAGACTAGGTCTAGAATAAGATCAACTTTAAGAGACGGTTTCAGTGTCATATGTAAGACTCGATTCGGAGTTATTATGGTGGCTTGGCATTTGTTGCCTAGCAGCAGACCGTCCTGATATGTGTAGGTTCGCTACTCAGATACGAAAACCGACTAGAAAAATGGCCGTAGAAGAATTGCGGCTGATATTAATTGCTCTCGTAGCATCACAGTTGCTAGTGATGGTCTGAGAAACAGCATAACTAACTTTACTACTGACCTTCGCGTCAGACAATTTATCTATAATTATTTCGAACGACTGGCCTCCGACTTTTTTTCGTCGGTCACCGGACATACATATGTCTACTTTAATAAAGTTGCGCTTAAAATTTTACTATTGAAGCAGCGGACTTCACACCAAAGTATGACTGCCTACGATAGGTCGATCTCGGCAATCGGTAAGCCGACACAAGCGGAACTTTTGGATCACCTCGACGGCATATACTAACTTTCTATGCTCCAAAGCGATTTCTAGTGAGTCGCTATAGCAATAACAACAACCAGTAGTGCTATTGTCAAGGCTTAAGGCTCGTTAAAAAATGCTTGACTTCCCCCTCCTCGAATGGAGAGGAAGCAGGTATGAGACCCACGGTTCGTCAGAACGGCCAGCTAAAATCAGAATGTGCATTGTTGCAGAGACACTCTTGGTCATGGCAAGGTTCTCTTTGTCCGCTGCGTGATTGAAGGAGATGTAGTCAGACAAACAAACTTGGTACCTGATGATGAAGGGGTAAAATGATGATTACCCTGATTTTGACAGGTTATGGCTGAAACACCAGTTTTCATAGGCAACCATACTTTAAGAAGATAGCATATTAACCAAACTTGTATAACCAATCTAATCATTTCTCCGCAGGTTTGCAAAGAGGAAGAAGAAGCCATACGCGTGGAGCTGCATGAGTCTTGCGGACGCACTAAACTCTTTTGGCTGCTCGCTTTAGCCGATTCGAAGACATTAAAAGCGATGGTAGAATTCCGTGATGGCAGTCATACTATAATATCCGGCCCACAAGAGGCCGTAGGTCGATGTCGCTTCTGTGGCATAACCGGCAATTCTGGGCTACTTGAGATTGGTAATGTCTGCGCGGATGCCCAGTGTCAAGAGCATGCTGCTAATTCTTGTATGAAAGTGAAGTCGTGCGATCATCCCTGCGGTGGTGTGGCAAACGAGAAGAAATGTTTGCCCTGCCTGCAACATGTGTGTCATGCGCGTGAAAATAAAATCGCCGAGGAGTTACACGAACCGAAATTGACACAAGATGCCGATGATATGTGTATGATATGCTTTGTTGAGGCGCTTTCATGTGCGCCATCCGTACAGGTGAGTGCAGTGCGACTTAGGAAAGTCTGAAGGAATATTTTAGTTATTTAATTTTTTGATAATTTTCTAGCTCGAGTGCGGTCACGTTTTCCATCATCACTGTTGCAAGGCGGTCATTGAGAAGCGTTGGAGTGGGCCACGCATTACATTTGGCTTCTCCTTGTGTCCCATTTGCAAAGCGGATATTCAGCACAATCTGCTATCTGACATTTTGGAGCCGATTAATGCGCTCAAACAGGATGTCAAGCGTAAGGCGTTGATGCGGTGAGTATAAAGTATGCGATCTATTCAAAGTTGTGGCGCTAAATAATCTCTACTTAAAGGCTAAAATACGAGGGTATCGTCAAGGACACCGACTCGAAGGATGTCACCAACTTGGCTATGGATCGTTACGCCTACTATGTGTGCTTCAAGTGTCAGAAGGCTTACTATGGCGGCGAGGCACGTTGTGATGCGGAAATCGGTGAGAAATTCGATCCGCAAGAATTGGTTTGCGGCGGCTGTTCGGATGTAGCGCGTGCACAAATGTGCCCCAAACACGGCACAGATTTTCTGGAATATAAATGCCGCTACTGCTGCTCGGTTGCGGTTTTCTTTTGCTTCGGCACAACACACTTTTGCGACACCTGCCACGATGACTTTCAACGTCTTACGAATATACCGAAAAATAAGCTACCACAATGTCCCGCTGGGCCAAAGGCTAAACAGCTGTTGGGCGATGAATGCCCTTTGCATGTCATACATCCACCTACCGGTGAAGAATTCGCCCTGGGGTGTGGTGTGTGTCGCAATGCGCAAACGTTTTAGCATGATGCTGTTGCTGACGTATTAAACGCTGATGTATTGGAGGCAGCGCGTCCACCCAAAGGTGCGGAAGGTGCGGGTTTTGTGCCGCTCGAAGAGTGGATTGAGGTGGAAATGTTGGACTTGGATAATGAAAGAAGTTTTGAAATGGTTTTGCGCGGTGCTGATGAGCGTGATGGAAACCGTTAGAATGTAGTAAAAAATTTATTTATTTTAGCTCTCCACGTAAATTGTTTTTAATTTGATCTCAAAACTTTACCTTTGGACTCTATACAAATCTCTGAATGTTAGTCGTAGCATTAAGTTTAAAGTAATAAATATTTATTGACAGACACCAAATTACACCAATACTTAGATACTCATATATGTATGTATATGTATTCAAAAATATTTACCTATACTACTTAAATTCATGTTGTGCATTATTCACATATTTAAAACAAAAAAAAAAAAAACGAATTAAAAAAATGCGCAACATTGCAATATTTATTGTGCTAAAATAACACTAAGAATATATACCCACACATTTACATACATATTATTATTAAATAAAAGCATACTTATACACAAATATTCATATATAATATTATCTAATTAAAAAATACTCAAACGTCTCGATCGATTTAAAAAATGTTTGTATTCGAAATTTCAATGCGATTTGCAATAATATTTGTGTACACGAAATAAAGGCATCTATAGTGCATTTAAAAATATATGAAAAAAAATATGTTTGTTTTAATTATTTTAAGAAAAGAAATTTTGTTGCAAAATATTCTTACGCAATCTCTTTTTTATCTAACTCTAAGCCCACAACACACTAGCGGTTTTACGTGGTAAAACGCTCTTTGGAGACAGAACTATATTTCAGCAGTGGTGGTAGCATATCATATCACATCAATCATATTAAATAATTTTAGGCCAACTTCCCTTTCCAATGTTATACTAAGCCGTTTTCTCACGATCGATGAATTTTTATGAGGAGCTTTTATTTCACGTCAGAAATTCACTGGATGGCTCGGTTACTGCGGCCGCCTATCACATTATATCATATAATTAGTCATTTCATGTTATAACCGATCATTTCATATCAAACTCATCATCTCATCATTTCAGACAAGGTTGCATCGCAACGCTAAATTTCACGTTAATCAAAATAATATCATATCATATCACATCATACTATTTTAAGTCATATCATATCATATCATATCATATTATATCATAACACATCATATCATATCATATCACATTACGCCTTTTTAAGTCACATCACACCATTTTAAGTCATATCATAACATCATACCATTTTCAGTCATATCATATCACATCATATCACACCACATCACATCATATGATTTGAAGTCATTTCATATCATATCACACCATACCATATCACATCATATCACACCACATCATATCATATCATTCACACAACATCATTATCACATTACGCCATTTTAAGTTATATGATTTTAAGTCATATCATCTAATATCATACTATTTTAAGACTATCATATCACATCATATCATTTCAAAACATATCATATCAAATCATACCATTTTAAATCATATCACACCACATCATACCATTTCAAGATCTATCATATCAAAACATACCATTTTAAGTCATATCACATCACATCATACCATTTTAAGTAGTATCTTATTATTGACATTATATTATTTCAAGTCAAAGCTTACCATTGATATGATATCATATCATGTCATATCTTATCATATCATTTGGAGATTTGATATTTTCATATCACATTATATCATGTGACATCATACCCTATTACATCATATCCTACCCTATCATATAATATCATATCTTATTCATCACATCATATCTCTTGAAGCCCTATCGTAACAAATGAGATCACATTACATCATATCATTCAATATGGAGCGAACCCAAACTTTTTTCTATTATAATTTAATTGATGTAGTTTCAAATAAAGAGAAAAAGCTATTTTCTCCATCAAAATTTACAATTAAAATAATTTTTAATTTAAATTAATATGATTCTTTTTTTATAATAAATCAACAAAAATTCGGTACATATTTATAAGTAATAAAATGTTAACTTTTATTTAAATTAATGTAAGTAATGAATATAATACTCACAAAATTGTTCCGAAGGTTATTAAAATTTTAAAACTCATACTTATAGGTAATTATTTTCCAATCTTTGAAAATTTATACTATAAAGCTACAGGGTTCTGTTTCCAGAGTAATATTTGGTTCTTACTTCGATTTCGATGCGGACAAGATCAAAACAAAGTTATCTCAAACCAAATTAAAAACACCAAAACCAGTGAAAATGTGAAGATTTTTCAAAGTATAAATAAAGTAAAGAAAACTATCTTTTTGGCTTTGTTGTTTTTGCCAACAATTTTGTAAATTATTATTTATTTAATAAACTCTCTTCTTCATATTCATATGTATAAGTTTAATACAAATAGAATATTGAATAATAGATAATATTATTGTAGATACCATTCAAAAAGCACAAAAGCACCAAATGCGCTTCTTGTCGATCTTACGATAAATTGCTATTTACTTAATAAAACAGTGGATATATTTAATTTAGCCGTTTATAACTAAGTTATTTTGTGTCATTGTGGTTGTGCTTATGTTTTCGTGTTTATAAACTTGTATTATACTATTTTTTTTTTTTGCTTTTTCTCTCATGTGTAAACTGCGCTTGACGCAGCGCCACTCCAAAGTATTGTGGCTTGTTTTTAAGCTTTCCAACTGATCCTTCCCGCTGTTGCCGTTTGCCAGTTCCATTATTTGATTATTGGTGATGAAGTTGTTGTTTTTTAGTTTTTTTTTTGAGAAATTTAGAAAGAAATAAGGTTTTCCAAAATTTATACATTTTTATTTTCTATTTTCGATTTTTGGTTTCCTTCTTTCGTATAAGTACACATTTATTTTAAATATTAATTTTTTACTGCTCCTCCATTGCTAAAAAATCAACACCCCTTCAGATGTTGCATACACAAATATATATAAAGTTGAACGCCAATCTATGAATTTATGCTGGTGTTTCAGGGGCGTGTTCCTGCAAGAATCATGTAAAGTTAAGATTTGAATGTATGCGAAATAAAGGAATTGGAATGGCAGACGGATGGTTGGAAGGAGGTCACGAGACCGTATAATAATGCAAACAAGATGGTTTGGAAGTGGTTGGTGTGGACAAGACTCATTTTTATGTACATCAATAAATATAGAATTATTTATGTAAATATGTAGGCATATTCAGTACTTGCAGACATATGAATATGTACAGATGTTCGTCGGTATTCATTTTTAAACAAAATATTGTACAGCCCAAAAATTAGCGAGGAACGCAACCACTGAATACAGCTCAAAGTCACGTATAAAATATATTTACATGTGTTGTAAAAAAAAAAACAACAAATAAAGTATATTCTCCACAACAACAACAATATAAACAACAACAAATAAAGTGGAGAATATATAACAAATCACAATAAAAAATAAAACAATTAAATAAAGTAATATAAAACAAAGTTAAATAAAATGAAATAAAATAAAAAATTTAATTAATTCACATAAGGTAAATTAATTAACATAAAACAAAATAAAACAAATATAAACAAAATGAAATGAAAAAATATAATAAACCAAAATAAAAATAAAAACAATTTTTTATAATAATATATAAAATTTAAAATACATAAGGTAAAATGAAAAATAAAATAATATAAATTTATATAAAATAAATTATGTGAAATAAAATAAATTTAAATTAGATTACATTAGGTAAATAAATTAAAATAAAATGAAATAAAATAAAATAAAATAAAATAAAATAAAATAAAATAAAATAAAATAAAATAAAATAAAATAAAATAAAAAAAAAAGAAATGAAATGAAATGAAATAAAATAAAATGAAATAAAACAAAACAAGAAGTGAAAATATCATCTCAGCAAATGATATCACGCCATGAGAACCCATATCAAATCATTTGGTATCATATAACTACGAATCATATCATATAATTCCAAAACATGCTACATTCAGTCAAACTAATAATGCATCATCCATATGCAAAAATGCAGTAAAAACTCAGAAAGGAAATAAAACTACCAAAGAGTGCTAAAAGTAAATTAAAAAGGGAATTCAATCAATGGAAACAAAATGTATGCGTGTGGAGAAAATGAATTTTAAAATAAATTCCAAAATACAAAAATTGACAACAAAAATTGCTTTAGTGTTTTAAATTTTTTTGTTTGTTTTTCACATTTTAATTTTAGTTTTGTTTATATTTATTACAATTTAAAAAAAAACTACTTGCATTAGCTAATTTTTAACCGCTTTTACTGATAGTTTTTAATGCTTTTGATATTGTAATGTCATTAACTACATCAAAATTTAACTAACGCTTGTTGGTCTGTTTTTTATTCTCGTCAATTTCATTGTTTTCAATTAGTATTTCTATACAATTGTGCTTGCTTTATGCACCTTTGAGTGAGAATTTAGAGAAGGTATTTTGTTTGTAGTGTTGTTTGTTGTTGTTTCGGTTTTTTGTAATAATTAAAATTACTTTTTAAAAAATATATATTTGTAAATAATGAAATATATTCATAATTCTGATGTTGTTTGAATTAAATTTAAAAATTAAAAAAACTTTAAATAAAACATTATATTTAGGGCGGGAGTCACACACATAGGTCTTGGGAACGAGTGGCTTAGGCTTCGGCTTCAACTTCCTCCTTTACCTTAGCATCACCGGGTTTGCCCTTGGACCAGTCGGGTTTTTTCTGCGGATAGAAAGAGTTAAAAAATTTACGTTAAAAAATTTATATAAAATAAATATATTACCAAAGGACTTGATATACAGACATACTGACATAAATCACTAACAAAAGTGCTACTACATAATTGAATCTAACAGAAGGTAAGTGCAAAGGTTGGTGTTTAAATATACACTAGGAAGAGGCAAATATATTATGCGTTATGTAATTTTTTGGATAAAATTATGAGATTATTTTTTTTATTTATTTCATTTCCATTTTTTTTTCAAATGTGCCGCCCGAAGCTAAAATTATTTAATTCTTAAATATTTTCAAAATTTATTGCCTACTTTTGGGCGTCATACATTACACTGCTGTACATAAAAGGTTTACATGCCAAACTTATATAGACGGACATAACATACAACAAATGTTGACGAATTTTATGAAAGAGTATTTATGTATAAATAATCATTTATTTATTCAATTTCAGTGCTCAAATGTTTATATGAGTGTGCAAATTTTATAAACACAAAATTTTTGAACACACTTTATAGTATGTATGTACGAATACTATCCAATTGCACACAAAACATTTTACGGTAAACAAATAGTATTTTTTCTTTTTAATTTTGACAATTTTATACACAAATTTCTTACACTTTTTGACTGTTGATTTTAATGTAGCATCTTTTATCTTTTTCTATAATACAAAGCGTTAAAGAATATTGTGGTTAGTGTTTGAAAATCAAGCATTTGACTAATTTTTATACTAGTAGTAGTAGTTTTTATATATGTATAAATACAAATAACTTTAAAAGATTTAATAATAAAATATTAAAATTTCCTTAATACAAAACTAAGCTTTTTAAATAAAAATAATTTAATTAATAAAATATAATAAATTTGTATTTATTTATCAAAAATATTGTAAGATATTTTTTTAACATTAAAATAACGAAATAAATTTTTTTTCTATCTACAGCTTAATACTTTGTACATACGTATATGAACTTACATAAATATGCAAAAAAAATATAATAATAGTCTAAAAACGTGAAGACATGTTTATAGAAAATCAACTAAAATCATTTAGAATATGACGAAACTGAAACATTAAAGAGGTCCGTCCAGAATATATATCTACTTTTTGTTCAAACGCTCTAGAAATGATTACAGGACGGAGACAGGATATGAGTGAGACCGTGAAATAGCTCCTCTGTTACTGTCCGACCTTCGCTAGTACTACTGTAAAAAGTTTAGGAGTTTCACAGCATAAAGGCCTAGAGGAGGCTTCCCATTGGATATTAGGACTCTCTTAAACTTCGCAAAAAGCGTCGTTGTCCTACATGACTACTTCAACTGGAATTAAACTGAAGTTCCATCTGGCATCGTAAAGCACCAGGCGGACGATGTATGACATTCCAGTCAGTCACCTTTACCTAACCTAACTTAATTTATTGTTTTCTATTTCAATTTTATAGATTTAGTATTTTCAACTTAGTTGATTTCATTTCATTGCCTTGAGTTTATTAAAATTTTAATGAATGATTTTTTATTATATAACTTCAAAATATATAAAATTAATTAAATTAAAAATTAATTGCTTGAGCTTATTTCGGTTGAATACAAGAAAATTAATTTAATTTATTTCAGTTTGCTTATCTATATTTCTATTTAATTTCATTAAAATATAATATTTTTTATTTAGTTTTTTCGTCGTTAAATAAAGTCAGTTATTAATTAATAATTATGCAGTTTAATTTATAATCAATTAAATTTAATTAATTTATTTTTTAGTTAAATTAAATTAATTTCGCTTGATTTAAATTAGTTAATTTATTTTATTATTTTCTATTGCATTAACTTTTTTTAATTTTATATTATTTCATTTATTGCAATTAATTGTATTTCTTATTTGATTTATTATTTAGCATAATTTAAATTAATTTACCTTTCCGTAGGTTTAATTTCTTACAAATAATTCATTTATTTTTTAACGTTATTTATTTTTTAATTTAATTTTGCGTAGTTAAATTAAGTTCATTATATTATATTAATTATTATACAATTTAATTTATATTCTGTTTGTATTTATTTATTATAATTTTTTTAGTTTAATTTAATTTAATTTCGTTTATATAATTCAATTTATTGTACTTAAATTTGTAATTTAATTCATTATTTAACTTTAAATAAATTTACTTTTTTTGTATGCTTAATTTTTTACAATTAAATTTTTTTTCTGTTTATTGTTCATTTTATTTTGTGTGGTTAAATAAAAGTCATTCAGTTTTTATGTAATTTATTTATATTAAGTTTTTTTATTAACTGTTTTTAATTTTAATTAATTGTATTTAATTTTTTTACTTAATTCCAATGTGTTAATATATTTATTTAAATTTAATTAGATAATTTTGGGTTTAATTTCATTTGTTTAAATCAAGATTTTTTAATTTATTTTAATTTGAAATTAATTTGTAATGTTAAATTGAATTTATAATGTGAAAATATTATATATTAACTAAAAGCTTACTCATTTCTTTATTTTATTAATTTTTTGTGATTAATTTTTTGTTTAAATTTGTTTATTTATTAATTTAATTTTTTAATTTAATTCTGTGCCATTAAATTAAAGTGAATATAGAAATTATTATACAGTTTCTTTGGACCCAGTTTTTATTTATTTTTTAATTTTTGTTTTTAATTGTATCTATTTATTTTGTAATAATTTTAGTAAGCTCAATTAAAAATAAAAAAATTATATAATTTACTTATTTAATAAGCTTAGACTGTTTTGTTTATAATAAGTTTCTTCAATTTATTTTAATATAACATTGATTTATATATTAATCTAATTAAATTTTCTACGGGAAAATAAATCAATTAAGTTTACTATATATTTTATTTTTACAACTAATTTTGTAATATTTTTAACTTAATTTTTTTATGGCTTTATAACATAAAATCATAAATAAATTATTTCTTGCATATTTTCTACACCCTTTATTCATTAAAAATCATTAATATTATCAATTTCAGAAATAGTTTTTAGGTTAACTAAATAGAAAAACAAAAATTATCAGTATTCCAACTCACCTCCTTCTCTTCCTCCTCCAATGTGAATTCCTTCTTCTTAACAACCTTAAGTTGATTACGGAAGTTAAATTCAGCGGCCTTCTTTTGGAGCTTGGCGAATTTGTTTTCATACTTGGAGACCTTCTTCAAGGCTGGTTTCACGCTGCAAATTGTGCCCAAGGTAATTAGTAAGGGTGTGAAATGATTTTTGTTGGTATTATAACAAGAAAATTTAAATTATGATAAAATTTATTTTTTAAAATAAGCAAAGCAGGGAAATGTTTCAAAATTTATTATTTAATAGAAAAAGAGTTCTAAAAATTAACCGGACCTTTTTTTTATAAATTTTTAAACTTAACATTTATTATAATTTATACGTTTTTCGCTCCAGAAATTAAATAAAACAAATTAATAAGTATACTTACAACTTGCCACGCAGATCGTTGACTTGGGCATTGAGATCGTTGATCTAAATGGTTTATATGTAATCCAAAACAAATTTCAATACATTCGTTCAGCACCATTATTTGAGTGAGAAAAAAAATTAATAAAAAAGAAATATGTTAAAATTACATCTTGTAAACTCATATATACATATTCATTACATATATATCAAAGCATTTTGCTAAATAAAAAATAATCAATAGATTAAACAATAAACATTTAGTAAATTTATTTAATAAAAACAACAACAATACCCATTAGATACATAACAAATATACATACGTACATACAGCATTAGCGAGTTGCGGTATCTTTTTGCTCAGTTTGTATTTTTTTTTTGTTAAATACTTTTTTTATATAATTAAAATTATATAATTATTTAGCAGGCGTTGCATATTATTATTTTTTTTTTCTATAACGTAGCATAAGCACTGCGCACTAGTCATCAGCACATGTACAATAAAATACCAGCTATACGAAGGCAGTTATAAGGCAGTTTAGGCGGAGATAGACAGAGATAGAGAGACAGAGAGAGAGAGAGTGAGAGAGAAAGAGAGATAGTTTGACAGAATGCTGTTTTTTTAGTAAACATTTTTGCCTTTTATATATTGTTAGCGCATTTGAAGAATTTTTCCACATTCTTCGAAAATTATTTATTATGTAATGGAAAATAAATAAATTTATTTATTTTTCTTCATTTTTTGTTAAGAATCGTTATAATTGATTCCATACGGGTTTCAGAAGTAGTAGTAGTTTACTATATAGAAAGTTACTTTACAAATGTATAATATTGTATTTGAATAAATATTCGTTTTTAGAAAGCGTCTGAACAACATAACATCCAAATGTCGATTTTTTTTAATTTTTATTTAGATTTTTGTTTTACATAAAATGTAAATTTTTTTCGTTGATCGTAAATTTAAGCTTTTGGCAGCGGTCGGCGGTTGGCTTGCGATGTACAAGCGATCTGGCTCATATTACAACAGAGACTATGTGAAGTAACTTATATTCAACGCAGTTTTTGGTCGAGTAAAAGATATATATATATATATATTGAAAAAATTATGAAGAGTTAGAAATCAATATTCAATATTAATAATTGAAAACCTACGAAGTCTTATACTTTAACTAACTTTTTTCTTACAATTTTCCGCATTTTAGTTTGTCATAAAATCGATTTACTTTTCACACAAATCGCTGCTCACCAACAAATTTTTTTGTAGCCCAAAATCGTTTAAAAAATATTCACGCATTGAAAATATATATAACACTATTCTAAAACTTAATAAAAATTAATTGTTTTTTATTTGAATTACAAGTAATCAAACTGAGGTACTGCACAGTATGGCACACATTTTGTGTATTTTATTTTTTTCAAAAATATATATTTATCTGACTTTTTATATATTTTAATGACGACGATTATAAAAAAAATATATATTGTCATTAAAAAAAAAAATATGTAGTTGCATGAGTGTTTCAAGAGAAAGTAATATATACTTATATATGTACATGTATATATGGTACATATATAGCTATTGCATTAAATATGTTTGTGTTTTTTATTTGTTGTCCATTAGACTTAGTGTGTAGATGGAGCAGAGTAAAAAATTGATGCGAAATTATCAAGGCTCGAAAAATTTTTTTTACAGATTTAATGTCAAAAACATAAGAAAAAAAAAGAATTATACGAAAATAAATAAACAGGTGTGGTATGTATACAATTAAAGCAGGGTGTAAAATGAGTAGGAAGCGCGTTAAGTTTGAATTAATACATTCGAATCCACGGATAATAAGTAGAGAGATTTACAATCAGCTAGGAATATTTAGATAAGAAAAAAATAGAAGAAAACAATTTTGATTTTTTTTCGCTTTAGTATATGTTTACTACAAAAGTGAGTTTTTGGACAGGAGACTTACAAGAAATATAGCTAGTGTTCTTAATATTTCAAATACCAAAGTTTTAAGCTTCAATTCTTCAACATGGGTTTCTCTTTGCGCTCGATAAATTTTATTTAAATTAATTAATTCAATTCACTTTATTTTGTTTATTTTTTTAATTTTTTAATTTAATTTAACAGTTATATGTTATTGCAATGTATTTGATTTTACTTATTTTATTCTATGTCGTTTTATGTTATTTTATTTTAGTTTATTATTATTTTTATATTGATTTCAGTTGTACAATATTTAATTAGATTTTTTTTTAATTATTTTAATTTTTTTATTGTATTGTATTTTTTTATTTGTAATAGGTGTAATCTCATTTTATTTGATTCTACATGTTATATTTTGTTTTATAAAATATTATATAATTTTTTTAAACCCATTATATTTTATTTGTGATATATTATTTTATTACACCTAATATTATTTCGTTTCTCTAAGTTTTTTAGCATTATTATATATTATTTTATTTTTTTATTTGATATATTTTTTTTGCGTTACATTTTGATTTCTATTATTTTAATTCATTTTTATTTATTTATTTTTTATTTAAATTACTATTATTTTAATTATTTTTTGCATTTTAGTTTATTTTATTTAAATTTATTTAATTTATAAAATATTTTGATTTAATTAAATAGATTTATTTCTTATTAATTTTATTTAATTCTTTTTCATTTTTATCGACTTTTTATTTTATTTAATATTTTTTATTATTTAATATTATTTAATATTTTTATTTCACCTTGTCTTATTTTAATCTATTTTGGCTTAGAAAACTTCATTTAATTTTTTGTTTTATTTGATTTAATTTTATTATGTATTATTTTACTTATATTTTTTATGATATTTTACTTAAATTTTTTGTTTAATAATAATTTCGTATCATTTAATTTAATTTTCATTATTTTAAATTTTTTATATATATTTATTTTACTTCATTTTTGTATTTTATTTTGTTTAATAATTTTACTTTAATTTACTTTAATTTTTTACTCTATTTTATTGTATTTAGTTTTTTATATTTTATTTGATTTTATTTACAAGATTCTTTAATTTTTTTTTTATTATGTAATTTTTATTTTCTTTATTTATTTAAGTGAAATAAACACTTCATTTTGGTATTTGATTTTATTTGATTTCATTTCATTTTATTTTAATTTTTTTAATTAATTTATTTTGTTTTATTTTATTTTTAATTGTTATTTAGTGTCATTTACAAAATTGTTTGTTTAATTAAATGATTTTTTTTTAAATTTATTTTACTATATTTGGTTTTATCTTATTTTATTATTTTTCCAATCATAATTCATTTTAATTTAGTTTTATTTTTGATAACATTTTATTTTGTTTTCTTCTATTAAAATTATTTTGTTTTGCTGTTTCATATTTTATTTATTAATTTTTAATTATTTTTAATATAATTTAATTTTTTTATTTTATTTTAATTTCTTCATTGTATTTAATTTTTTTCTTAAGAAATCTTGAGGAAGCTTTGCAAAAGTTAACTGAATGAAAAAGTGCGCTAAATAGAGAGCGAGAGCGAGAGAGAGAGAGAGAAATGTGGAAAATGTTAATCTAAAAATATAGAACCAAAAGAATCCTGAAAATCGTATGACTTGACGCATTTGAGGAGGTTTGATGTTTTTTGAGTTCGGTTAGCGATAGAAATGGGTAAGACATTTATTTGTAGATATATAATTTTTAGTACATTTAGTCGTACATCAAGCTATGCATTTTCGTGTATATATCGAATTGTTAAAACGCTTTAATATTTTTGTACGAGATTTTTTTGTGCGACTGTTTTATTAATTATTGATTATTGTTGAGCGTCAACTCTGTTGACGTTTACGATTGCCCAATGATTAATTGATGAACTGATTAATGAGAAATATATTTACTACTATTTTTACAACAAAAACTCATTACTAAAAAAAACTTTTACTACAATTATGATTAAAAAAAAATGTTTAAATTTTTTTTTTTTATATTTTCTAACTATTTTTTTTTTAATTTGTCTTATAATTTCAAATTTTATGTGCCATACTGATGCTGAATGCTTTCAGTTTTTAAATTTTTTTTTAAATTTCGTAACACAGTACTATAGTAAAATTAAAAAAAATCGATCATTTTGGTCTTTGTTCAGAACACTTTCATTTCGTTTTTTCTTGTATTTTCAGAAATGTTTTGATATAACATTCACGCCCGATCGTCTTTTTTTTTTTTTTTTGGAAAATAATCGATGGCATCGAACTTTTTTATTATTTAGTATACATTTCGGTGCGCTGTTGTGGATCCTAAATTTTTGTTGATTTTGCACGCGCTGTCATTTTGAATACTATTTACAGATGCTGTTTGTTATTTTTGTTTTTGCTTTAGCGCAAACTAATTTACTTTGTATAATTTTTTTATTAAAAATTTTGTTGTGTTTTTTAATTTGTGAAAGATCGGCTGCAAAATAGCGGTTGTCTGGAGAACTGGAGTGTAAATTAAACAGGGATAAGAGCGAGTAAGCTATAGACAGCAAAGACGCCAGAGAGCACGTGTTTGGAGCGTATTGCAAGGCTTGTATCTATATTAATTTGAGTGTAATGGCGAAGAGCTCAGTGCATTTTGAACGGTATGCACAAGAGCGGTGTGTGCAGGTTCAGTGGAATTGTGGAATTTGTTTGTGGAATATATATGTGGAACTTGTTTGCGGAACAACAGCGGTAGTATGCACTATACTTTATTGCATAAAGAGCATGTAACGGTGGCGGGAGTGAGACTGTGGTTGGAAGAGAGGGATAAAGAGAGAGAGAGAGAGGCGACAGTGTACACTTGTATGGAGAGCCAAAGATTGTTGCTTAAAACAATTAGAAACATTTGCCGACTAAATTATTAGCGGTGTGCTGGACTCTTTTAGTAAATACAAATATAATTAGCATATTTTTAACGGTGTTTGCTGGATTTTTTTGTTTGGTTTTAGAAAAGTATATTTGGGTAGAACAAATAAAAAACACAAAACATAATTAATTTCATTTGCTTGCGCTTGTAATATACACAAATACTGTTTAAAATAAAAATATATATTTTTTTTTTTTAACTAAAAACAGGTTCTTATGTACGTGTGAGTGTGTGCAATGATCATTGTGGAGTTGCAAATTAGAAACATATGAAAAGGTACTGTTTTTTTTTTTCTTTGGTATTACTAAAGAGCTTAAAGAGTGTGCAATTTAAAATTTAAAATTTTTTGGTGTTTTTAGAATAATAACGGTTCAGCGTGGTTCCAAGTCTACTTTTTTTCTATATATGCATCTAAAAGTACGGTTTGGTAGTGCAAAATGAGCACGGATAAGCTGGAACTATTCTTTGGACTTAGCGCCTAAAAGCCGACTACATTTTTTTAAATTTATATTTTTTTAGGTACAATAGAAAATTAAAGTGAGGTTAAGCACATAGTGGACTAGATCACTAGAGCACAGTGAATGTGCTTGTGAACGAAAATGGGTTTCTGCACCTAATTAACCAAAAGAGTTCGAGTATCTTGGAAGAAGATACTTGTTGAGAACAAGTCATATAAATAGCCAGAGTCTGGTGTCTTTCAACCTTCAAAAAAAAAAGCTTTTAGCATTCTGTAGAATTATCAAATACGGCTTGTATACTTTTTGGAGTTATATAACTTCAACTGATTTGATACTGGTTTAAAAGAATTTCACAAAAAGGAGTGCAGAAAAATCAGCTGAATAAAGTTTTAAATTTTTTTTGGCGCTTAAAAATCACGATTTTTGTTTAGCTTTAGTATGCGCAATTTGACGTTCGTTCCTTGGGAGGTCGGCAGACGCGAGTCTCTTTCTAATTTTCACTAAATTTCAGCACGTTATACGACATATGGCGCATTTGAAGTTAATAAAAGCGCATAGAAATGTACGTGGCACCAAGTAAACGTATTTAAATATTTTTCCCTGACATTTTTTCCTAAATTTCTGTGTTTTACTTAACCTCTGCATTTATGCCACTATGTGCGAGGCTTATGGGTAAAGCAGTTTGACTACTAGTGATGAGTTTGTGAGTGAATTAAACTATTTTATAATTTTAAGTTTTACATTTTCTTAAAATTAATTTAAAGGTATTTTTTTCTCATTTATCAGCTACTTAAATGCTTTCGCTTGCTTCATGAATGTGTGTGTTGCGTATTTAATGTGTGTTTTCTGCTACTTTTTTCACAAATTTAACACCATTTCATTTGGGGTCACACAAAAACAACGAAAATTTAAATAATTCATTAAACAAAAGCAACTAACCACAAGGAATGTTGTATATTTTTGTGTCTTTGGTATTTTGTAGATTTGTATGTGTGAGTGGCTCTTGTGTTTTCATGTTTTTTTTTTAATTACTTCTCACGCTCATTTAAGAGAGTGAACAAAAAACAATAAAAAATATATGTATTTTACTAATTTTTGATATTTGTTTTAAATATCGGAACACAATTCTTTTTTTGTTGTTTTTTTTTTTTTGGTTTATTTTGCAGTACCTCCCAGTCTTTTTTCCTGACTTCGTATTCCAGATCCCATTTCTGGCCTTCGCATATATACATGCGCTCGTAATACTCTTCACAAATCTCTTGTAATTCGCCTGTAAATATGTTTTTGATATACATACAGAAATATATATATTTAAATTTTTATTTAAATTTTCTTATAACAAACAAGTACATACACACACTTAGCAAGACAGTGTGTGTGTGTGTGAAAATGAGAGAGTCAGAGAGAAAGAGAAATAGTGCTTACGTGTGTGTGATAAAAAAGAGAGACAAAAACGCGTGTTCACTAACTAAACTACTTTACTACTGTTTCGCTCTCTGTTTCTATATTACATTTTTGTAATTTAACCGTTTACCATTTACCGTTGTTGTCAATTAGCAATTGTCAAAAAATCTTCATGATGTTATGTGTTCAAGTGTGAGTTTTGCAGTTTATTAAATTTTCTTATTTATATATAAAATAATATATATATATATATATATTTTTTGGTTTTGAAAAGAGGAGGACACGCCGGGTTCAGTTTTACCATATATTGGTTTTTCAGTTTTTTAATGGCAAGGTCAAGCGTATACAAAAATTAGTTTAGAATAATTCGATTTAATTTAAAAAAAAAAAAAACAATTATTTAAACGTATACACAAAAGTCAAAAATTAGTTTTTTTTTCAAATAAAATGTGCATACATTTTGTGTTGTAAAAATTTCATACAATTATTGTTATCTGATCGGTTAAGTAATATTTTTACTGTCAAAAAATATGTAATAAAAAGTTTTCTTAGCCGTAACTTTCAGTTTTTAAAAAGTCTTTTAACCAATAAATATATGATATATTCTCAATATAAATATTAGTTAAATGTAATTTTAATTATTTGTATTTTTAGTTATTTTTAATTTCAATAATTTTAAATTCAAGTTGCGTAAAAAGCACAAAATATTAATTTTTATAAGTGTTTTTGGTTAATTTTTTTAATTTCAATAATATTTTTGTTTTTAATTTTTTTTTTGTTTTGCCGAAAACGGTCGCACCATCATCTTCTTTTATTTAAATTTTATTTCGCATTTTTCAAGCTTATATATAATTATTATAAATTATTATTACATTCATGAGGAAAAAAATATAATACATTTAGCGTAAGTTTAGTCGATAATTTTTTTTTTTTTAATTCTTTCTTTTTTTTCTTTATATAATTTATAGTTGCATTTCATACTAATACTATTGTATATTTTTTTTATTTTTCATATGCAACCGTATTTTGTTTTTAATTACCTCTTGTGCTTTGACTTTTTCTATATGCTCTAAATCAAATTTGTCCCCCTCCAAATTGAAAAGTCGTTGCCAATATTCTTTGCAAATTGTTTGTAGTTCGGCTATAGCACGTGACATTTACGTATGTATATGATGTAAGTCAAATGCAATGCAATACATACGTATAGAGATAGTTGATATACAAGTACAAGTAGTAGAGATAAGTGAATAATGCAAAAAATTGTTGTTGTGTTTGTAAAACATTATTTTTTTAATTTATTTTTTTTTTATTTAATATATATAGGAGTGTAAAATGTGAAATTAACCGTTTTTATGTTCTGTTTGCTAATTTTTTATTACTATTTTCTCTACTTTTTTCTACTGTTTTCAATTTTTTTAAACTATTTTTTTCACTACTTTTTGCTACTACTATTTTTCTACTACTATTTTTCTACTACTATTTTTTACTACTAATATTTTTTACTATTTTCAGTACAGTTTTTTATAGTATTTTGTTTAAATCTTGCCGCTGCCTGTGTTTTGTTATGTGTTTGTGACTTTTACTGGCATTTCTTGTGCGCATCAATGAGGGTGGTGTAAAGTTTTTTTTGTAATACTTTTTGTTTGATTTTTATTTGATTTTTGGTTAAGAATTATTAATTTTCTTTTTTATAAAACAAAAAACAATATACTGTATGTAAATATATTGCTTTCAAATAGTGTTGAAGAAACTGCAAAATAAATTAGAGAGTATACAACAAAAAGCTCGAAAGCTCTTCTTCTTTAACTAAAATTACGTTGTGTAGGCAACATGGTTGCGAGTAATAGTTCACAGGGTACAAAAAATTGGTTTCATCTATTTTTAAGAAGCACTGATAAGAAAAAAAGACGCTTGGAAAGTTTTGAGCTTTAAAGCCATTAAGCTTTCTAAAAGCTTGTGTTTTAATTTTTTGGATCTCCTATTTTAAGATTACATTCGAAATATGAGATCTGTTACTGGCATATTCAAACACAAAAAATTTTAAAATACATCAAGCGTGTGTGAGGTGGTATTACTCGAAGTGAAACAAAATATGGTACACTTTGTGGAAAACAAGCTTTTTCATCACTTAAAAATAAATTGAAAAGATCAGAGAACTAAACTGTTATTAGGAACTTAAAACAATATCTTAAGGATATGCGTTTTTGAATCCCACAAATATATCCGAATGCTTTTTGTTTAAAGAAAAGGAAGGTAATGTTTCACTATTTTATTGCGTCACCGAATTTTTGTTATGTTTTAATCTAAAAGGTGTTAAATTGTTTAAAAACTAAACTTTTCCAGAAATATAGAGACTTGAGAAGCAACGGGGCACCATAGCCGGCTATTCGAGCTTTCAGCAAGTTTGTTCACTGCATACTTTTTTCGATCATTTTCGAGCTCGAACTTTTAAGCAACGAGTACTCGCACACCTGTTCATTAATAGCATATTTACGAGCAGCACGAACACGAGTTAGCGCATTTCGAGCTTTTTTCGAGCCTTATCTAGATTTTCTAAGCTTTTACACATTTTTTCGGGAATTATGTGAACAAAGATGTCCTGTTTACTGCTCGAATTATTCAAAACCACGAAGATTTCAAACCAAGCTGCAGTTGAGTAGTGTACAAGTCTCGAACGAGCTTTAAGCTGTCCGCTAATGGATTATATAGCTCTTATAAAATATTTTTTAAACAATAAACTGTATTTTCTTTTTTCAATTAAAATTAATAAACTTAAGTATTTTTTTAATTATATGAAAAAAATAAAAAATAAAATAATAGAAAAATATTTCTAATTAAATTTTTTTGTAAAAAATAATTAAAAAAAATGTAACTTATATTTTTTTTTGTTAAAATTAAATGTGAAAATTATATGAAAAAAATTATGTTCATACTAAAAGTATAAGTATTAAAAATAAACCGATGTAATAAATACAGACATGGCGATGATGTGAAAAGAGTTAATTTACGCGTACAAAATAAATAAATTTTTTTAGTAAAAGCTATGGCAAAATACAAAATATCCAGCTTTTACATTATGTAACTACTTAAAAGTGCTAATAAATTAATTAAAATGTATTTATGTAATTGTATTGTGTATTTGTTTTAGTAGTGGTAGGCAAATTAGATTACCCGGCAAATTTTCAAAATTTAACACAGGAACAGGATCAACAAGCAGAGGTTGAAGGTAGCAAAAAGAGAGTTGAATGAAAAATTGTTGTTGTTGCTCTGGAGGAAACATTGACTGATATACACATAATAGTATATAGGTGCTTATATAATATATAATATGAATGGAGATCATAGGGGTATGGCGGCTTGGTCATACTATGTGGGTTAATAAGTGACTACAGCACATATAGGGCAGTAGCTAAGGATTAAGTACCAAAAAGCCTTATGCAAAAAGCAGACTTTTCAAAAACAAAAAAAATTAAATTTTGTAAAAAATAATTAGAAATCTGCTGCACGCAAATAGCGCAGAAAATAGTGGTGTCAGTAAATTTTCTAAAAAAAAATTACTTATACAAAAGTTGTGCTACAACGTACGCACACACACACACACAAGTGTAACTGTGAAGCATAAAAGCTTAAAAAGGCAAAATACGAAAAGTAGTTAATATTTTACAATATTTTTTTGGACAAAAATATATATATTAAAAAATTTATAATTTGTTCTTTTTTCTTTCTTTCCATAACGAATGTGAAAGATTCTACTTTAAAACAAAACAACTTGTATAATTTACAAAGTGTAGTTTGTGGTTATTTTCTTAATTAAAATTATTTGAAATTTTTATTGAATTTTAGTTCAAAAAGAATTAATACGCAATTTTATACAACAAATAATACAATGTGAGCACCAACAACAAGAACCTTTATAGTATTGTGTTTTTCGGTTCTACTATATTCAAATTTATTGCAACTTTTCAAATTTTTACTTTTATACTAAAAAAAATATTAAATACAAAACTACCAAAAAATACACAAAATACATAAAATACTAGTAAGGCACACACACACAGAGGGTGAGTCAACTATGAGTAAGCCTGGTCCAAAAAGGTTTCTTTATTGTCTACAATCTTTTTTTTTGGTCTTTAAATACATACATACAGTGTTTGTGAGTGTGTTTCTTATACTTTTTAACAGTTTTACTTTTTAATGTACGATATCGTGGTGGTATTACCAACAAAATTCAAAACTACCAAACAACTACAATCAAAAAATAAATTTTGATTTTTAGTTTAATTTTTTTTGCTTGTTTTTAGATTACAAAATACTTTTTGTTATGTAATATCAAAAAATACCAAAAAATACATAATTTTTCAAAAGCGCAAAAAATCAAAAATTAAAAAAAAACTTTTCAACTAGTAAGTTTTGCAAAAAAAAAAAAGTGTTGTATATATGTAAGGAAAAAAATTGATAGTTTTTTGTTTTCATTTCTTGCCTCTAATTCCTTTTTGGCAACCTGATATTCAACGTCATATTTCTGATCCTCCAATTTCAGTATTTTACCATAATAATCCTGTACAATTTTTTTAAGTGTTTCTGCGGGCAGAAAATTGCAATTAAAAATCGTGTGAATAACGGTTAATACGGGACAGTTTTTATTTGTTTTTTTTTTTTTTTTTTTTTTTTTATTATTATTTTTTATTATTATTTTTTTTTATTTTTTTTGACGTTATGTATGCGTGCTTGGTTTTGTTGTATGTGTACTCCTATGCTTCAGTGAGTGGTTGGGTCGATTGTATGAGGAGTGTGTGTGTGTGCGGGNTTTTTTTTTTTTTTTTTTTTTTTTTTTTTTTTTTTTTTTGCGTTGCGAGGTTTGATTGATTGTTTGATTGTCTGTTTGTGACGTTATGTATGCGTGCTTGGTTTTGTTGTATGTGTACTCCTATGCTTCAGTGAGTGGTTGGGTCGATTGTATGAGGAGTGTGTGTGTGTGCGGGATAGTGGAGCAGAAAAATGACGGAGAGAGGGAGGCGTAAGATTTTCTGTTTTTGGGGAACGCAATTATTTTTAAATGAGACTTTTGATTGAAAGAAAGTGATATTTGCAAAAAGAAAAAAAAAAATGTTTTAAAAATTTATACTTTTTTCCTGATTTATTTTTGAAGGGGTTTGACGTTGAGTTTATGAAAATTATTAGTTTTCGTTTCTCACTAGCAATATTTAATTTTTTTCCAGCTTGTAATTTAAAAAAAACGTAAAATTTTACGAAAAAAGGGATGACTTAATAAGAAATAATAAAAAGGTAAAAAGAGTTTCCTTGAAGTAAAAAAAAATTAATGTTCATTGAAACATAGATGTACACGCTATAGCTGGTTTTTATTTATCTATTCTCCTAAATTGTTGCCTACATTTAGGATTTTAAATACAAAAAAAAAACCTATATCTCAAAAACTGCTGAAACGCGTTTTAAATAAATCTTCGAGAAATGTGCCTTTTTAACTATGAAAATTCCAATAAAATTTCCAATAACTAAAAAGTGTTTTCAACGGTTTTGCATTGAAAATGCGTTTAGTGACTTTTTAACCTTGATTTTTATAACTTTTTTTTTGAAAATTTTTCTTTTCTGACTTATCACAGTTTTTCTTTCCAATTTCAACGATATAAGGCTTAATTTATAGAACTTTGAGCAGCCCCAATGTGTCTGTAACCAGTTAAGAAGCTTTTCATCACTCTTTTGGACCCACTTAAACAATGACATCGTACAAGTCAAATAGTAAATAGTACTCTCTTTAAACATGACAATATTACTAGTTCTGATATATTCAGAAGCTTATGAGTTCAACTCTTAAAATAAAATAAAAACTGTTTAATTTTTTTTTTTTTTAATATTTTTATCCTAAAATACTGCCTGTTCATGGGTATTGATTGGTATTTTCTTCGAGTTCAGTCAAAAAATTCGGTATTCCTACTTTTTGAATTTTTTAGCTAAAACCTTTGAAATTTTTAAGTAACTAAAACTCGATATTTCGGAAACATTACGTAACTAGTTACATTAAAAGCAATAAGTAACTAGTTGCACTAAAAGCAATAAGTAACTAGTTTCATTGAGACTAGTCAGAAAATTTAGTGTTTTATAAAAATTTTGCTAAAATTTCGCTGCTTCGGAATTATAGTAAGTAACTAGAACTTTACCACCCCGAAAGTAATATCTTTCATTGAAAAACACCTGGAGTTCTCTTTGAGACCAGTCAGATAATTTTTTAAGACGTTGTATTTGTAACAGATGCCAGTCAAATATTTATTATAATTGTATTGACCATAAACGCCTTAACTAAAAATATTTTATTTTCGGATTTTTGCTATGGTTTAATAAAAAAATTAAATTTTAACATTTTTTTTGGTTAAATACACTAGCGTATTTTACTTAACAAAAAAATTTTTGAATTAAATAATTTCTTTAAAATGGTACAGTTATCATTGTTGTTTGTACTCTGGTTAGCTGAATGCAGCATATTAAGAAATATATATAAATATATGTATATAGTATATTATACGAGTGAGTAAAACTTTTTGAAACTGTGTGCAGAAAAAAACATTAAACAATTTGGTGAGTTTAATTAAAAAAAATATATAATAATAATAATAATTGTAAATATTAATTATAAAAAAAAAAATACTTTTAATAAATAGAGAGAGAAAGAGATAGTAGATAGAAAGTGTTGGATTAAATTTTTTTTTTTTAATTTTCAAAAGCATGGGTTATGTGTTTCTAGTGAATTTCTGCTTCTTTTGTGTTGAGTATTTTTTTTATACAAAACAGATTAATTGCAGCATTGCAGAGAGACGCTCCGCTCCACCGGCAGCGCAGCTGACTTTGTAAGAAACAGCTTTTAACAACTAACTACAACAAAAACTGGTTACCAAAAAATGCATTTATTGGATTTTTCTGAATTTTTTTCTAAATTTTTTTCCTCGCTGTCACTTGCGCAAGCTCAGCGCACACAGCCGTTGTTGGGAGCGGAGTGCGAAAGTTGAGTGTGTGAAAAAAATTAAACTGCTTGAAAATGTTGTTGTGCACGCATTTAGTGTTTGAGTTATGAAAAAAAAACTTGGCAGAGAAAAATGCGTTTTTAATTGTTTTTTGTTTAAATAATTCTTTGCTGCAGCGCAGTTAAGTGCTTGAAAATAATTCTTGTGTTTGCAAATGATTTTTTTTTTGTTTTGTTAAAAAATCAAAAGTTTTCTTTGTTTGTTTGTGTGTACCTCAACATCCTTGCGTTTAACAACATACTCAAGGTCATATTTCTGGTCCTCCAATTTACAAATCCTGTCATAGTGTTGCTTGATAAGAGTTTTAAGTGTTTCTGTAGATAAGTGGTAGATAGTGGTTAAACAATTTGCGTTGTTCCTTTTTAAGCAAAATATTTTTGTGACAAAATTTTTTTAACAATTTTTTTAATTTTTTTTTTTTCTACAAAAAATTTTTTCAACAAACTTTTTTTTACAAAATTTCAAATATATTTTAACTTTTGGGTTTGTTTTGCTTTCGTGCTTAAAACAAATATGGTATGGTATAAGAAAGGAGAAAAAAAAATAAAATAAAAATATTTAATGAGAAAAAAATTTAATTGGAAATTGAAATATATATGCATTTAAATAAGCTTTAAAAATGGCAGCATAAAGGGAACAAAATTTTGGATTTCATTTTGAGAACAAATAAATAACTTTAATAAAGTTCTAAAAAAAATTGGACTAAACAAAAATTTTGGAAAATTTTAAATAAATTTAAAAAATAGTTAAAAATAATAATTAAAAAAAAATTTAATTATTTTTTTTTTTGGAATAAAACCAAGGAAATTGCCGCTTCACAACTATTTATTTTTCTTACTAATTTCATTAAAGGCCAGTAAAATGTGGTGCAGTGTACATGAGTGCTGCTACTGAGCAAGTGTACATGGTTGTGGGTGTGTAAGTGTGTGTGTGTGAAATTAATTCTATAAAAAATGTGTGGGTAAATGTGTTTTTTGTGTGCTAATTTATGCTAATTATGGCAAAAAAAATTTGAAAATTTCGTTTTCGTCACTTCAATTTTTTGTATGATCTTTTCTATGAATTTTTGAAGATTTTTTTTTTTCAAAACTACAATTTCTACTAATTTCGGTTGTTTTTTCGCTTTCTTATTTCAACTTACAAACGGTTTATAGAATCACATATGTTGATATACGTATTTTGTAGGTACATATATGCATAAATGTAAACAGAAATATTACCTTCGCTGGCGTCGCTGAGATTTCTGGGGCTACCGCAACGTTCTTCAATGATACGTCTACGTTCAGCGGCTTTACGTTCTTGCTCTTTCTTCAACTCTTCAGCGGCTTTCTTACGGAGCAGCAACTGTTGGGTGTTGAAAAAAGTGAGAGTTTAAGAGAGAAGGGGAGATAGAACGAGAGAATAGGTCTCAATTTTGCCATCAACATTTATGCTTTCATTTTTCCAACTCACCCTAAGTTTCTTCTTCCTCTCTGGTGTCATGAAACCTTTCTTGGCCTTCTTGGCCTTGGAGGCCTCCTCCATACGCTTGCGCACCTCAGCACGCTTGCGCTCAATCTCGGCCTGTTTAGCCTTCTTTGCCTATAAATATTACACAAACGTAGAAGGAATTTATTCATATGGCCTCATAGGCTTAACATGGCACACATGAACACATCGAAAAAACAAGACAGCACACTGTTGTACGTAATAAAATTTCCACAACACTGGACGGCACAGCACGGCGACGATAGCGGAAACACAAACATACACACACACATGGAGTTGTGTGTACCTCCTCTTTGGGGTCGAGTGGCTTTGCTGGTTTCGCGGGCGCTGCTGCCGCAGCTGGAGCTGCACCTGCGGCTGGTTTTGCGCCCGCTGCTGGTGCGGCAGCCGGTGCAGGCGCTGCTGCTGCTGGTGCGGCTGCTGGTGCTGCTGCTGGTGCGGCTGCTGGTGCGGCGGCTGGTGCAGGCGCCGGTGCTGCTGCTTTTTTCTAAAGTAAAAAAATAGAAAAAAATTCTTATTAGAATAATTTTTTGTTTCAGAAAACAGGCAAAAAACAGTTTAAAATTAGGATTGAGCGTAGCAGCAAGGAAAGATTAAGTTAGTAATGATTTTTTTTAATACTATACTGTATCGTATAGTTAATTTTTCAGCAACGTTGATTTTTTTTTTTTAATATTTTGTGCTCTTATGTTTTTAATTAATTTATTGTTTTTTTTTGTCGCAGTAGCCAAAAGTGTCGAAAAAGCTAAAAGCAAAGTCGGGAATAGAAGTTTAGAAATTATGCAAATTCAAAGCTTGAAAGTTTCAGCTAGAGCTTTTTAAGTAAAGCACAAAAATATTTACCTTCGATGTGTCCATGTGTCGATATGAAATTGTTCGTTTTGTATACGCGCATATTTACTGCAATTTTAATAAAGAAAAAATATAAATTAATTCTCAAACTCTTTAGAATTACTGTGAGGCTTTTTGTAAGCGATACTTACCTCACCTCATCATCAGCCATTATGGATTTGTGTTTTTGGATTTAGTAACTAAAATGAGAGCGAAATGGTAGAGAAATTTTAGTAAAATATTTCTTTCCATGCCTAATTTTTTTAAATTATTATTATTTTTTATATGCGTCGACAGTACTGGCATTTAAAATAGCTCAATTTTTTTATTGAAAAACAAAATGAAATAATCAAAAGGAAAAGAAGAAATAATATTTGCAGGAGAATTATAAATTTTTTAATAATAATTTTTCAAAATCGTCGATGTTTGAAATTTTTTATGAAAATGTAGGAAATTCAATCAAACAAATTAAAAAAAAAAAAAGTTTTAAAATATTTTTTTCCAGTGGGCTTAGAAGAAAAAACTAGTAGGATAACTGCTTTTCGCTCCTATTTTTCTTCTTTTTATTTTAAATAAATTTTGTAAGAATAATAAAGATATTTGGATAAAATAGACTTTGCCACTAGCAAATGAGCGCATTTGTGAGATTTTGTACATATGTATGCATGTATGTACATATAAACACTTTTTTTTAGCAATTGCATTAACATATTCTTCAAACCACTCTTAAATACATAATACATACATACATACTACATTTTAAAATCTATTTCTGCTAAATACTTTGATATTGCCACACAATAGCAGCTGTCCCATTAATTTGTTTATAATTATGTACACACGTTCATATGTCTTACTATACTAATATCCATATATATGTATGCTACCACAGCGACATATATACACCCACACACACTCATACGCACCTATGCATACACCTATGCATATTTTCCGTTCCAAATTTTCAATTTTCCACGCATCATTGCTAAATATCCCCGAGTAGAGGAAAAAGGCGAAAAAGCAGAGAAAAAAAAAACAAAAACAAAAAAACTTTAGCGAAAACAAATTTTCATTTACAGCAGCTTCGCTCACTCTCTGCATACATGATTTTTTAGCAAACCGTATATGGACGCCAAACCAAGAGAAGTGATCGGGTGTACAACGACGACATAGTTAATACGAAGTGGTAACGTATACGCCATGGCTTGATTGTGTGCTGCCAGCGCCACTCACTCATAAAAGCGATCAAGCAAAATAGCAAGTGTGTATGTATGTATGTGTGCTAAGAAAAACAAAAAAAAGACAATTCCTTTGGAATAGGTATTTATTGGCACACATATACAAAATACATACATAAACTATTTTTGTATATATGTATATGAGTGCATATACACGTATGTCTATGTCGGTAGTAATAGTGAATTTCTTGACTCATTCATCCACTAAATTTGCCTTTTTAAACAAAAATCGCTGACAGCTCTCCTCAAGTGAGTGTGCGTGCATGTGTGTATGTGTGAGCACAATAGTATTAGTGCAATAATGTGTGGGTGATTTTATTTTATTTTTTTTGTGTTTTCTGTATTTGCGCTAGTGATCTTGCTTGTGGTAGTAGGTAGGTGGTTGGTGAGCATAAATAAATCGCAATCAGATCCGATTTCAAGTGTGCACGAAGCTGTTAGCTGGTCAATTTAAGCTGGAGGTCTTTGAATTGTGTATTGCTTTTGGAAATTATTGTATGTCTATACATACACGCCTGTATTGAGACATATGTACATGCAGAGTGTGATAGATTTGTTTATGAAAAATTCCTTAATTGCAAATATGTATTGCCTGTCCTTGTATATATATTTTGTTGGATTCGTAGAAATATTTATAAATCATAAACATACGTATGTATGGATACTTTTGCATGCAAGAACGTGTAAGTTTTCTCTCTACAGGAAATATCATATCCTGTTCTCTATAGTTAATAGATTTCGTTTAAATTAAATTAAATTTTTTTTATTTATAAAACATCGAAAACAAATCTTTTTATAAATAATTTACTATATTTTGTGCAAATTGATACAAGATATTTAGAAAACATTTAATTTTTAAATGTTATTTTGCGATAAATAATACTTAAAAAAAAAATTGCATAAAACAATAAGACAAATCATTTGGAAATTTTATAACTGATTGCTAAGGGTATTCTAATGATAGTTATTTATTTGCGGACGAAATTATTTTATTATAAATTTGTGATTTTTTTATTATTATTTGTTTCCTTATTTATTTATATAGTTTTTAAATTAGTTAAATAATAATAATAAGTTGATATTATATTGTGTAATTATAAATAATTTGAATTTTATTTTATTTTCAATAGATATTTTGATAGCAATATTAATTAAAATTTTATTACAATCAAATTTACATTAAATATAATTCAATTTATTTTAAAGATTTCAGCTCTGGCCTTGCGAATAACAATATGCAATGCTAACCAGTTCGCTACTGCGGCCGCCAAGCCATTATTAGTTTTTATTTCAAATTTTAATTTTAATTTCGTTTTTAAAATTAATTTTAATTTTTTCCTATTTTAGTTTTATTTTTTTTTCTATTTTAACTTTAATTTTTTCCTATTTTAATATTAATTTTCTTTTTAATTTTAGTTTTAATTTTAATTTTATTTTTAATTTTAATTTCAATTAAATAATATTTAATAAATATTAATTTTGAATTTAATTGTACCTTTTGAACTATCTTTTGAATATTATTGTTTTTTGGAAAAAAAACAAATGAGAAACTAAAATTAAAAATAATACTGAACTAGTTTTTTTGAAATAATTTACAATAATTTCTTATGTTTATTATTATTGCGTGCCGAAATTATTTTTTTTAATTATTCTTTGTATATGATTCTAATAATTATTTTATTTCATATTATTTTTAAAATTATATCTAGTGGGTAACTTCTAACCTTGCTTTAGTTGCTGTTTTATTATTATTTTATTTAAAAGCTAATATTTATTCATTAATTATTTAAAATTGATAGTTAAAAAATTTAGTGAAATTCAATGCAGTATTGTCTGTTTTGCTCTATATATTTTTTTTGCTCCAAGTAATTTTTTATATTTTAAATTTATTTTTGTTTGTATTTTTAGTTATATTTTGGTGGTAAAATGTTAAAATTTTATTATTTCTCATTTTCGTATTAAAATTTCGTAGTTTGTTTTTTTTTTTTGAAAGGGTTTAAAATTTTTGGAATACAAATTTTGTACAAAACAAAATTATTTTGCTGGCATATATATTTATAGCCCTGCCGTAAACACCTAAACACCTGTATAATGTTCAATAATAAATAGCCCGACAGTTGTTGATGATTTTGAAATCTATTGTTTTAAATATTTGCGCAATGAATTAAATGAATAATTTTGTTGCGAGAATTTTGGGCCAAAAATAAAATTCTTGGCAAATTTTTATGAAAAACTTTGAAATGAAATTGTTTGCGTGTTTGTACTTTGTTGTTTTTATTATTTGTCAAATGTCGTCTAACACCTACTCGAAACAGTTGTTTACATGAACGTATGTATATTTGTAGGTAAGTAAATTAAATTATTATATGTGTGTGGATTTTTTTTTTGAATCTTTAAGTGGGCCTTCTTTAAATTGGTCACTAGTGTGCCAAGAATATATATATATATATTTTTTGATACAATTTGTTTTATGAGAAAGTAGAATAATTAAGTTTTGTTTTAGGTGCTGTCAGTGGTTTATTTTAAAATTATATATATAAATTATTATAAAATATTTCTAGAACTTTTCAATAATATTTATTTAATATTTTTTTTTTTAATTTTGATTTTATGGGATGGCTATTTGCAGCATTGTAGCTATAAAAATGTATACCAAAAATCACAATAGCGAATAAAGATGGGAGACGGCAAAAATTCACGCTTAAACTGCTCAACCTAAGGCTTTAAGATTTTCAAATAACAAAAGTATAATTGAAATATTAAGATTATATTTTCAGCCTATTTTTACAAACAAATATATCATTTTAAAGCAAATGAACGTAATATACATAAATATAAAGAAAATTTGCAAAAAAATGATTTTCTAACTCAAATGGAAAAAAATGCGAAATACCTGCAGAGCATTTTTGCTTTAATATCATAATATAATTAAATAGCTTATATATATATTTATATATATATAATTTTTTTATCTTGTATTACATATACGCCAGAATATGATTTCTCAATCTCATATCTATGGCTTAAGAATCCTCATTGAAGTTAGTGGATGTGGATCTGTGAATAGAATCTCGCCGCAGCGTTTGAAGCATGAATTTGATTTTTTTTGAAGTCAATGAACAACATTTTTTTAAATTAGAAAATTTTTGAATTAGAATATTTTTAATTTTTTTTTTCTATTTATTATGCAACACTCAAAGTGCTTAATTTGCTTATAAAATTTTTTTTATTAAAAAATATTAAAAATATTTTCTTTTTCAATAAATATTAAAATCATTTTTAAAATTGTTTACTATATTTTTTTTAAATAAATATATGCATAATATTTAAAAATTAATATAAGAAAATTAGTTTCAAAAAATTTTTTTTCTTCTTTATACTTCAAATTCCCTTTCCGGTTGGCTGCTGCTTATTGATGTTACAGTCGAAATTTGCTTGTATGCATACATATAATATTTTTAGCCATTTTTCTGTCTGTCTGTCTGTCTTAACTGTGTCCCAAGATCAAATGGTAGACAAATTCAAAATTTCAAACTTAAATTATGCTAATTTTTTTTTTGTATTTCAAGTAAACACATACATATGTATGTATGTATCAGCATATGTGTTCTTATTAAAGTTAAAAAAAATTCTTAGTATTTCCTCATATATAGATACATTCATACATACATACACACTTTTTGCTTTGTTGGCACTCAACACGATCGGTTTTCGACTTGCTAGCGTGTAGAGAAAAATTTTCTATTTTCAGCTAAACTTGCACGTATTCATATGCGAGTATATATACATATATATACTTTTATATATATATATATATTATGTTGTGTATTAACTTCGATGCTGTGATATATATATATGCATATATATTTTTTTTTTTTGATATTTAATTGCGTTAGCTGTATGTTTGCGTGCGTGTTAATATATGTATATGAGTCGATGAATATGTGTTAAGGTAAATTAGATATGCCTTGATAGTCACATATGCAAGTTTTTTCTTTATGTACCTACATAAATTATATATCATATATAAAAAGATATGTATATGCATGCATATCTAAACTAAAATAATTGTTTAAAAATATTTGCATGTGTGTGTGCTTAAGTCTTGATTATTTTAAATGTATTTATTTCTGTATGTATTTATGTACGTGACCAACAAAATCGACTTGCACACAATCATATGTGTGTTTGCATGTATGTATGTTTGTATGTGTTAGCGCATCCGAATATGTATATCCTTCCCACGGCAGGTAACCGAACTGCATTTTCGAACCGTTCTCGTTCGTTCATAAACGTATTGTTCACACGATACTCCTTCGTAATTACTGAAAAAGGCTTATATAATTGCTGCTGTTCACATACATACGATCGTGGTGGGCGTATAAGTCATACACTGAATCATGCATATATTATTTATACACTTAATAATTTTTAAATAATTTTAATAATTTAATTTTTTGTCTTTGAAATGTCTTCACTACACGCATTGCAAATATATTTACATATATATATTGCATACTACATTTTTTAATAAATATATTTAAACGCATTTAATTTTTTTTATTTTTGGTTAATAATTTTCCATTTGCAGTTTTCAAACCAAAATTTTCTTTTTTTAATTTTGAATAGTCACACCTGTCGCAATGCACACTCCTTTTTCACCTTCTTTGTAGTTGTTGTCTTTTATTTGATATTTTATATATTTTTTTTAAATTTTTTAATTTTTCAATATTTCTCAGCAACTCTGGCAGCTGATAGAAATGTGTGGAGAAGACAAGCACTCACCTTAAAGGAATTTAAAAAATAGGTGTGCGAGCAACCTCACAGATCGGAGAACACTGTTCGAACGGAAAAAGACTGAACGGTCCGACGATCCACGGCAGACTATATTTCGTTTGAAATTCGCTCAACAGATCATTTTTCTTGCGTAGGCTTCAACCGACGATGGCCAACGCCAATATTAGCGAAGGCAATAAAATGAAGAAAAAAATAAAAAACATAATAAATAAATAAAATAAAATAAAACGAAGTTTGTGTGGAAACATTCGTGTTTTTGCCGATTGCATAGCTTTTTCATTTAAATATGTTTTTGTTGTTATGAAAGCGAAATACGAATTCGCCGTGCTCTTACGATCCACATGAGATCGTGTGGCACCTGCAATTACACATAGGAATACTGTAAATATATATATATAATATAAGTATATATACATTTGTAAATTTATACCTGTATATGTGACTTTTCCTAGTTATGTGTGTATGCGTGTGGAAAACTATGGAAAGCGTGTAAAGCATTGAAGAAAAACAGCAGACGTTGCATTACCGCTACAAACGAACATACGAGTGCGTTGAACGAGCTATCTAGCCATTAATGTTAAACACTTCGGCTCTTACGTCGGCTAGCTATTAGCATGTCTTCTAAAGAAATTTTCTATATTTCAACATCAGCATTTGGTCTCTTGTATCGTAGCGGTACGGACATGGCTAAGAAAATATAGCTAACACACCACATATATGCATATACATATATGTATGTATACACATATGTGCAAATGTGTGTAAGGCGGTTTTTATATGCAAAACTTGAAAACCGCTGCTAAAGTGCACACACAATATGTACATATGTATGTATGTATGTATGTTGAATGTTTGGTATCTGGGCAAGGCAGCTAAAAATAGCCAAAACGCCGAAATAGATGTCGAACATTTTATTTTCTATGTGATTTTGCTTAAATAAATGTAAGCAAATGCGTTGAAATGTTGAAAATGTTGAAAATTTTTTCAATTTTCCGCAATGAAAGAGGTTTTCATGCGCAAACATACTTATGTATGTATGTATATATAATTCATAACAATATATTTGTATGTATGTATGTGTATACTATTATATTTTTTTTGTTTATTTTTTTTTATTTTCCGTTTACTGAGAATGAGTTGAATTTTTGTATGTATGTATTTTATATTAGGGCATGTTGATATTTCGCGTTAATATATACGAAATCAGAGTAAATCTTTCAAATGTACACTGGGTCAACCTTCTTCTCTTTTCTCTTCTTTATTGACACAGGCACCGATTACACGATTATAGCCGAATCAATAATAGCGCACAATTCTTCCCTTCGATTTGATGTTTGGCGCCAGTTGGAATTATCAAGTGAGATCAGATCGTTCTCCACCTGATCCATCCAATGGCGTGGAGCTGTTCCCCTTCCTCTGTTTCTACCCGCGGATACGGATCGGATCGGATAATCTCAAAGCTGGAGTGCTCTCATTCATTCGAATGGCGTGACGTAGCCAGCGAAACTGCTGTCTCTTAATTCGCTGAATTGTAAAGCACTTCGGTCCATCGTCTGCGTTATTCGCCAAGGCCAACGCGCAAAAAATCAACAATCGTTTTGAAAATGTCTCCCCTGATACTTCCAGGGCCGTCTCATCAGAATTGAGATCGTTCACGCTTCTGCACCATATACTCGTAGTGGGACTGATGAAGAACTTCCAAAGCTTGGTCTTTGTTAGTCGAGAAAGGAGTTTACTTTTCAATTGCTTACTTAAACCCGATTGCAAGAGTGATTCTGCATTGGATTACAAGCCTGATATTGTTATTGGGAGGTATGCCAGATGCATTCACTTCACTCTTTCGTAAAGGCCAGAGAAGGTAGGCTGTTGAAGTCAATATCATCGGCGAACGCCAGCTGTGGCTGTGGAAACCATCAATTCTTTACTCATCCGACTTTATTCTGAAAAGAAGCTGATGCATGCACCATTTCAGTTCTTCACCGTTATGTTGAAATATCTCAGAAAGTAAGTCTTCGAGCCTCATCATGGTCGGAAAGACTTCTAACATCAGCGATTGGGTTTTCGGGCTCACCATCTACTGGTGTGGCATTTTCACTGCTATTTCGCAGCTTGGATAAATGTTCCCTCCATAGATTGAGTATACTCTGGGCATTAGTCATTAGATCAGTTCTCTGTGTCCTACAAAGATCTGCTCCGGTTATAAAACCTGCTCGTAGTCGCCGCATCTTTGCATAGAATTTTCCAGTGTTACCCTTGCCAGCTTTTGAAGTTTTTTATACTCAGACCTCTTTCTTTCTTTGTCTGTAAATTCATTCTGCATCCCTCTATAGCTCTCTTCAGCAAGATTACAAGGTCGGTAGTCTTTTTTTTCTGCCCTGCAGCTCGACATAACCCATCATACCAGCTCTTTTTCTGACTTTGTCGAAAACCAATTGTATTCGTAGCGGCGGGACGTATTGAGTTTGTGATGCCCTTCCACATTTCCCTTATATCGAGTTAGTGATGAGTGGCCTCAAAAAGCAGGTGCGAGAGTTGGGTAGAAAACCAATCGGCTGTCTGTATCAACGTTGAATGTTCCTTGTGTTCGTTGACGGTCGTTTTTTGATACATAAATGTAGGTGCATATCTTCACTGCGTGAAAATAGTGATCCAAGTCCATGCTAGGACCTTGGTACATATACACAGCTAAAATTTTGGAGAAATGTCCTTCATTTATTACAACATGATCGATCTAGATGGGAATTTCCTGACCTGAAGCTTGGCGTTGACTTCTGAATTTTTCTGTGCTGGAATCTAGTACTACAGGCAATTATATTTCCGGCACCGTCGAAGTCGAAGTCGTTCAGTCTCAACCCATTTGGGTATGATTTTCTACGTGGCAGTTAAATTTTTTGTCAGTTGTGTGGTAGATATCTTATTTGCTCACCCTGGCGTTCAAGTCGCGAAACACAATTTTAACATCGTGGCGGCGGTAGCGGTCAAAGAAGCATTCTAGGCGCTCATAAAAGTCTTAGTCACATCGTCCTTCTCTTTCGCTGCGGCGTTGACGAAAGTCAGTGATGCGTGGAAAAATTTCGACAATTAAGTATAGCACACCCTAATAAGTTTGTGGAGACACGAAGGTGTATGGGCCGTATAACATGCAACTAACACATAAAGCAATCCATCACTGTACATAATAGTCATGTGTATATAGTATAATACATAGAAACTATTTGAAAATTGCATTTTTCACCATCTCAAAAATATTTTCCACTCATTAACAATGTAAACGTGAAATGATTTGGCAACATTTAGACATATAATATTTATTAAAATACAAATGTATATATATATGTATGTGTATGTGTGTATGTGTGTGTGTACAAATCCATAGTACTTCCCCTTTGAAATTGAAATCTTGTATGGCATTCAATGTCTGCTGATCACTGTTGCTGGCCAATTTGCTGCAGCTCATTAATATCTAAAGCATTTCGTTGTACACATACATATATAAATATATAAATAAATTTTTACATCGGTATTCAGTAGGTAAGTATGAGCATTTTCATAGACTTAAACAAATTGTCGTACAGGTGGGTGGCGGCACGAATTCAATACGATCATAACTGTTATATATTTGCACATAGAGAGATGAGCATTAGTACATACACACATAATATAGACAGAAATGAGTGAAGTAAATAGTATATATGTATTTATTTTTCAAAGAAACGATATTACTTAAATAAATGTAGATAAAGATTCTTTCTTCACAGTCGGCTTCATAGCTATCTGAGACTAAACGTGTCTCGGGTTTTTAGTGCTACCTTCTTCTCTTAAAAAAATCGACCATTTTTATACAAAAAATGTGTGGTGGATTTTCATATTTTTTAAATCATTTATTATAAATTTTGTATTTGTTAGTGGACTTCATCGATACATGCATTTTTGTATTACAACTTTAGCAAATTGTAAGAAAAAATTCAGGAAGAGGAGCAGCTGGTTGGATTCGCTATATCTAAGTTTGAATGCAAATCAGTCCCAAAGTTTGAGATATGTTTCAAGGAAATAAGAAATTGTTTTAGTAATTGTTAGTTATTTAGAGCAGTGTAAACTCGTTAAGAAAATCTCAAACCTACGCTTGAAGCCAATTAAGCTTCAAAACACTTTTGAATGCAATCTAATCGCCAAATAAGTATATTGATATGAGTCCGTGAGTCAGTGCAACAGCTTGTTCGATCACGCAACCCTGATCTCTTGATGACACCTTTATTGGTTCTGTGGAGAAGATTCCTAGACATGCAAGCTTTGCTGATCAGCTCATCGGCTCCACAATTGCTCGGGGTGGCCCTATGAGTAGGTAGTATAAGTCCATTTTTCGAAAAAAATAATATTCTCCACACATTTTTTATTTAAAAATGGTAGATTTTTTTAAGAGAAGAAGGTAGCACTAAAAAGCCGAAACACGTTTAGTCTCAGATAGCTATGAAGCCGACTGCGAAAAGATAATAAAACTACCTTTAAATTAGTGTTTCATGCTCCCACCCTCGTTTATTGCATATTGTTCGGAGATTTCGAGCAAGAGCGCGAGCAATTCGAGCCTTTTCAAGCATTTTGAGCAACAGTTTTGATTTTTTTCACAGCACTTCTTTCTGTAATTTTAAATTTATTTATGCAAAGTGAAAAACTTCTTGAGATAACTACTAGTTACCCTTACCTTTGAAGAATCGAAGAAGGGTTCATGACGATTTTTATGAAAGAAACTAACACTTGGATCGCCAATTTTATTTCTATTTTGATTAGCAAATTTTTGGCAAACAAAATCACTGTATTTTTGAAAGCATTTAATATTATTTGGAGTAGTAGTACATTTCGAGTTATTGGTCTGTAAGAAGACGCCTGTGCGTGATCTTTACCATTAAAAACAAAACTAATTTTAATAGGGATATTCATTATTATTGTAGGTAGATGCCGAAGTAGTTAAGGGGCACACCTAGTGTAATGGCCAAAAAAAATTGATTTTGGGAATTTTCATTAAAAAAATACTTTATCTATTATTTCAAAATTTTAAGAATATATTTATACATACTTTAAGAATATACAGTGAAATTTTTGAAGAAAAAAATTAAATATTT